TTAACTGGCGTGGACTTACTAAGCTCATAATATTTTCCTCTGACTGACCATTCGAAAGCAATTTCCATAGCTATTAATGACGAGTTCAACCGCTCAAACCTCTTTGTCAAATCCCAGTAATAACTGAACCTATCAACAGTGAAATTTGACAATTGCTAGATAACTGCGTATTACTTGATACTCCGTACTTGAAATTGTATGTTAAATCCTCTGGACTCCATTTCTGCACAAATACCTCGATCTGGAATATTTATTAGCTTTCGATAATTCATCAATTTCTAATGCTTCATTCTTCACTTCCAGTCCTGCAATTTGTAAGTCTTCGTTACAAAACTATAAAATATTCAATCGTTCTAAACCAACAGGCTTGAATCCCAGTCTTTTAGAAACACTTATCTTTAAAAATGTGCACTCGCAAGCCATTGTCAAATAAACAAAAAATAAAATCTGACAATTCTTTACGAACAGTTTCTACCTTTACACATTGCAATAAAATTCCTTTTTTAATAATTATATAACTCAATGAAGTAGCAACTGCTTTGTTTAATTTTGTCTCCGAGTCACGTTCTGCCTTTTGTTTTTTAGAATTTTCTACACTCATGTCCATAAATAAAGGATAATGCAAAATCAGGCAAAGGAAGAGTTAGAAGCAAAACAAATTTGACTTATTTGTAAAGCTTATTTATTAAATAAAAGGTAAAGAGCAAAAAAAGACGCTATATGTTTGATATTATTAAAAAAATTAGCGATTTTTTCTCCATGGAGCAAATTACAAAAAAAACCTATTTACAAAAAACCAATATTACATGGTTGGTATGATTGTTAATACATTGTATGTCTCCCAGACGATGCAATACAGTCCGTACAACGCCTAGGCATGCTGAGTATCAAATTATCGATCTGATCTTGGGAGATATTACACCACTCAAAAGCAATGCTCTCCGAAGTTCCGGTAGACATGTAGGAGGAGGTTGACGGGCTGCAACTCGTCGGCCAAGCATGTCCCACACGTGCTCTACTGGATTCAAGTCCGGTGAGAATACTGGCCAGTCAATACGGGTGATATCCTCCGATTGAAGGCCTTCGCTTACGATGTTTGCACGGTGAGGACGAGCGTTGTCATCCATAAACACAAATTGTGCGCCCATGGCGCTCCGAAACAAACGTACATGTTGTTCCAGAATGACGTCCCGATAGATTTGGCTTGTCATGGTTCCAATTTGAACATGCAGGTCAGTTCTGGAACCCAGAATAATTCCACCCCAAACAAGCACTCCTGCACCACCGTAACGGTGTCGTTCAATGATGTTTTCTTGGTGGCAACGGGTACCTGGAGCTTTCCATATGAAAGTCCGGCGAGAATCAGACTGCAAGCTAAACTTGGACTCGTCGGAAAACATCACACAAGCCCACTGTTGCAGAGTCCACAATGCATACTCTCTACTCCAGGCTAACCGCAGGCGACAGGGAGTTGCAGTAAGTGGAAAGCATCTGACAATGTCTACGAGCATATAGACCAATCTGCCCTAAACGTCTGTACACGGTCTGCCTTGAAATTGTCGTACCAGTGGCTGAATAGAGCTGACGAGACAGGTCTGAGGCCTGCTCCGCCTGTTTCTTTGGCAGTAACTGCCAAATACCGGTCCTCATTCGGCGACCTGTGCTGTAACGTCTACTCACATTACCATCGTCTTGGAATCGTTGCCAAAGCCTGGAGATGACACTCTGGGCAGTTCCAAGTTCGTCTGATACTTCCAGTTGGGTACGCCCACATTCCAGACGGCCGATAATTCTACCACGTAAAAAATCTTACAAATGCGTCCTTTGTGTCATAACTATTCGGTTATTGCACTGAGATGCTTATAAAGCGCTTGCGAACAATTTTACTTCTTTGCCTGTATTCCTTATATATCACCCTCGTCATTGTGACGTACCATCGGTGTCATCTAGTTACTTCCTGAAATTTGCATATGATTCTTGAAGATGTGTGTGGTGATTTTACAGGTGATATATTTATTTTAGAGTTCGATTTTCGCGTGACTCCGAATTATCCTTAATTTATGGACATGAGTGTAATTTAAAGCATATTGCGCAGGTGCGTTTAGTGTTACAAAAGCAGCAGTTTACCCCCATTTACATAGCAGTTTATATTACAACATTTATGAACATCTTTTTTCTCGTAAAACCCTCTCTCCCCCCCCTTTTTTTAGTGTTTATATTTTCACAAGATGAGTAAAGTGCTCCTGACCACAAAATATTTAAGTACCACTGGTCAGCAATTCATCAGCAATGTTTAGATTGTTTATACTGGCTGCATGTTGCGTAGGAAGAGGGAGATTGTATTTATATGTCAGTTATTTGTACATGTACATATGCCATGGTATTTATTATTCTCTATCATGCATTTTATATTGTATATTACCATTTTACTTATTATTGGATTCAGGCTACAAATATTTGTACTTGCTATACGTTTCTCACCAGCTCGACAGCCTCTGTTTTATAACAGCTCAGCACTCCCAATTCATCTATTGACCACATGTGTCTTTAACTTCACTTAATTCATGCCTAACCTTATTATATATTAACTATATAAAAAAATTTTATCCTTAATTGCTAGGTTAATCAATATCAACCTTCGAAGCTACCAATTTATTCTACAAGGGGTACAGCCTAGGCTCAGGCACCCTGGTATAGCAAGCACAGTTCCACAGGGAGGTGGAAAAAAAAAAAAAAAAAATTATCGAATTTAGAAAACGTAGCTTCGTGTTTAAGAATGAGTTGTATATCGCTCTCACCACATGAAATCGAAGGATATATGAACTAAAAAGTTTTAAAAAAATTCTTGCTTCTGTAAAGGAGTAAGAACTGGGTCGCTGTTTTATTACATTCTAATAGGTAGTTGATTTTAATATGTACTTTTACTGATTGTAAACAAATGATTTCGTATGCATTTAATCTAGAATTTCAAGAAAAGCTATACAATCAGAAGTATTTTTTTTCTATAAAAATTATATTGAATTGACATATATTAAAAATGTCATTGAATGAATTTATATAACAAATTATATTGAATCCATGAAACAATTTTCTATTTTCAAGCAAAAATAAGCTTTTAAAAATAAAATATCAATTTTAAGAATAGCTAGATTTGTCCAGTTTTGCTTTTCCAATGCAGATTTTATTACGAGTCTTTATATTCGAGTCAAAAATTCAAGAATAAATAATAATAAACCTGTTAATTACTTAAATTATATGAACTTCATAATCTTTGAACAGCTTTATATAAAAATCCTAGGTCCACTGTAAGCCAACACAAGAATAAATTAAACTAATCACAATTCGCAATACGAACTTTTCCATGTTGCAATATACACGTTTGCATATCTATAGACACATATCTGTGCATGCTGTTTCATTTTCTCCAAGGTTACACAGTTGTATGCAACTAAATTTTAAATAAAGATTGAGAAATGAAATACATTAAATTATGTGAAATTCTCACCCCATCAATATTTATCACTGAACAAATACTTTGGATCTTCTACATTATAGGATATGTGTTAAAACATTTTCTTAAATAACATATATATACCAATTTGATGCATCCAGTAATAAAAAATACTTTCACTATCAGCTAATTTTCTCCGTGAAAAACATTTCTAAATATAGGAAGTGTATTGTTTAGGCTAGTTATTCTAATAAATAATGAAATCAATGTCTAGCCTCTCTTTAAAAACCTTTTATTACTAATATTTACTTTAAAAAAAACCACTTCTGTAAAAAATAAGAAAAAAATATTTCATTTAACTGTCCCCAACGGGTGATAGAGGTATCTTCCCATAGGAAATTTTTTGTCGCATGTTGTTCTGTAATGGGAAGATTGGATACTTTGTATGCTAATATTCATAATAGATAAATTGCAGCCGAGACAACTCGAAGGCACACGGGTACATCCATCATGATGATTCATCTAAAAAGATGCTGTAATGTCACTTCTGTGTCTAGTGTCAACGATCGTACCATCAGTATAAGCAGGCCTGTCTCGGCTTCAACGCTGCAACAATGGTCAATGAGCTGACAGTCCAGCATGCTGCACACCAGCCAAGTTCCTAACTCAAAGTGCAAGACGAGGCTGTAAGATCCTGCAATGCCGAGAGAGCAACATGCGTGTTCTTTAGATGTTAGCGGCCCAGGGCTGCTGACATCCTGCACACCGTTCAATATGGCCTTCTTGGACCATGGATTCCATATTTGTCTGACAGTCATGGGACTCTGACCAGCACAAGCAGCAATTATGCAGAATGATAAACTGCTGTCCTGATAATGCGGAGGCGAATTCCGACATGAGTTTCTCCTTCTTATATGAGGCATAACACGACCATTACATTAACAACCAACGTTTGACTGTAATTTCTAAATGAGAAATCCACTATACTATCTGCTTATTCATATAAAATGTAGATGGCATTACTCATACATGCATGTGCGCACCTACTGAAATGTTAACTATTTGAATATTCCAGGATTCCTTTCAAGCAAATTGGATGTTGTAGCAGTTTTAATGGCCAGCATTGCAGCTGCATTTAAAGGCTGGTTTAGCAACATACTAATTCATCTGTATAGTACGAATAAGCATTACCTGACCAACTGTGTTTCACCTAATTTAAAGGTACATGGCAATCCATCTCTTTATCAAAAGTAAAACAGTTTTGAAACTGTCCCCGTTTCTCCCAATGGCATAATTTCAAATGATTGGATAAGAAAAACAGTATAGGAAATGCATATGAGCAATTTTTAGCAAAAATGAACGATCTGTTACTGATTATCTAATCTCCAGACAATAATACAACAATCTGCATGGTTTCCAAGAGTAGTATATAAACTGTATGACTTCTCATACATTTTAAAAATCATAATAATATAATTTTTTATGTGCAGCAATTATTTAAGATATTAATTTATCAAATTTGTTTACATAAAAACATTCTAAACACATGTTCTTTTTGGAATGATCATATTTATTATTTCAAAAAATATATAACAGATTCAACATTTATACCCCTGTTGATATATACAATATTAAATAATATAAACAAAAACACAGCACTGCTACTAGTTTCTTAATATACCTCCTACAAAAGTGGTACAACATAAAATTCATTATTTTAATAAATGGAAATCAGTCCAATAATATGCAGATTTCTTCAAATTAATTTAAAATAAAAAAACTTCAAAACAATCACATATCCCAGGTATGCATTAATTCCTAATCAATTTACTTTTGAAGACAAACACATTGCATAAACAGAAATAAGTCGCATAAATTTTGTTCAAGATCAATTTCAGAAATTTAAGTATTACTTGTAAAAATCCGTAAAATATTAATGCAATAATAGGAAGCATTTTAAAATCAATATGAACTTCCTATAAAAAGCAAAACTTGATTTTAACTTGAATCTGGTTTTTAGTCACAATACATTAAGCAATGTAGCATAAAAACATATTTTCGGATTTTTTACATTTACGTCAAACTAAAATATTAATAAATATCACAACACAAACAAGAAAATATTATAATAGTCTCATCTTGAAAATTAATTTTTTTTGGCTGCTGTTGAAAATATTAAGCATTAGATATGATTACAAGACCATAAGAGATATCTACGTATTATTACTTTAAATAAAATATTCAACAGTCATCAAACTTTAAAAATTTAACAATTTCAGTTCATTTGAAAATAAACAAACATGATATTAATAAAGGCTGTCATCAGAATTTTTTTCACCCTTGAAACAACTTAATACAGATGCCTTGAGATTAAGTAGTTCACATTGAACAGTCTAAAAATTTGTACAGCAGTTGCTATACCTCCAGTACTTTACGTTAAACACATGACATACATTTTCACATTAAATACATTACAGTTTCTCAACAAATTTCATACATTTAAATGTAAAATTCCTTCAACATCATCAATCAGATTATTTAAGTAGATAATAAAAGATGTTTTGCAATTAAAAATAAAACTTCACTAGGAACGGTAACATGGGAGACAAAAATGGGAGAATTTTGTAAGTTTAATTTTTCCATTTTGTATACACATTTAAATCTATTTGACTTAATATATGATAATTTTGTAACATTTACGACTTGGATATTTCGATTTCTAGTCTATTGCTGGAAAGCTTCCAATGAAAATTGTAGATCTGTTACAAAAGCATTTGCAATGTTAACTGCAATTCAAAACTCATAAATTTTATCCTAAAACATGTAATGCAGTTGCAAAAGTATTTAAAAAATGAATAAAATAATGATATATACATAAAAGGAAAATATATTATTTTATGTCCAAGTAAAGGACTTTAATGATTAATGAGATTAAATTAATACCATATTGAAATGAATGCAGGATGGTGTTCCTATACTTAAAACACTGTCCCGATAATACCCGTCTTAGTATGCAGCCTAAGATTTAAAAATATGAAGATAATTTTTCTTTCATTTCTTAATTTTTGCCATTACAAAAAAACATTTATTTAGTTATGGTATTTGGATTTAAATACCCTTTTTGTAGAACAACTCATCTGAGTGAGAAAATTTTTTGATTTAAAAGGAACAAGAGAAAATTTAAAAAACTCCTGGATCATTTTAAATGTGAGAGGGCACAGATTTCATTAAAAAAAAATTTAATGAAGTAAAAAGTCCATATGTATATTTTAATTACTTAATATTCCTTCTGTTCTAACTATTCTAGCACTTCCTAAAATAGTACAGCTGAGGTCAGGAATTAAACATTAGTAATGGTTTATAAACTATTATGAAAGTCACATAGGTCTTAATATTCATTAACAGAATATATAAGAAAAAAGTTCTTTAGAATATGGATTGTTAAAAAAATTCTTGAAGTAACATTATCACAGTCTATTTTTCTGCTTCTATAATAAATAGTGAGTAATAAAATCAACAAAAAGAGTTTGTGGTTTAATTAAAACACTTCATTCTGTTAAAATTTATTAGGTGGCATAATACTTAGAATTTTTGGATATGTAACATAATGTGTTTAAATTTGAAAAACATGAATGAAATATTCTGTGCATAACAAAACTTAACTACAGAATTAAAATAATTTAATAATTCATTTAATTACAGAATTAAAATAATATATCTGAATGCTCCTTAATGATTGACACCCTACATTATGATGAAACAAATGTAAATTTTTATTGTTCAACGACAGAAACATTAACATCAATAAAATGTGCAGATTTTCAATAAATATCAACTGCTTAACATTTGTTTTAAAACCATATTTATATTGAGTTTTAACAATAAAAAATCTAAAAAAATGAAGATTAAATTCATAACATGAACAATTAAAGAAATGTTATTAAATTGTACTATTATAAACATCATGATATGTCATATATTATATATATTTTAACAAGTTTCAAATAAACAGATTCTATGAGTTCTATACTCCTTAAGTGAAATGCTGTATATTAACAGACTTTGTGCAGAATTTCAATTTTACCGAAAAGTAAATCTTTTTAGAGATTCTGTACAAACATGCAGACAGGCATGTAGTTATTGTTAATAAGTAATCTCTAGTAACCTTTAAATTATATGCCAAGCTCATAATTCTGAGATAAGAAGCATGAATTTCAATAAAAAATATATAAATCTTCAGAAATAATGTCTTAAAAACATATGCATATAAACTACTGCATAGCTGCCAACCTTGAAATCTTAAAAACCAAGAGAATTTTGTGAGGAAATCTGAAGATTTTCATCCTGCATAGTGATCCCATTTGAAAGCAACTCCAAATAGACTTTAATTCACTTTATAACATATGGTTCAAGTTATTAAACTATAAGTAAATTAATTTTGATTTAAAATATATTAGCATTTAATTCAGGGTTTCTCAACCAAGTGGGAACTTCAGAGATTTGGAAGGAGGAGGGCGTGGTCAACCTTTTACTTAACTGTTAAGCACTTAGTTTATGAATATATAAAACACTAATTTTATTCAAATTTTGATATATATTGATATTTTGTATATTTTTTGTTGTTTAACTCATAAAACATGATAAAAAGTAATCTAAATCTATCTATATCTATTCTATCTATCTGTATCGTTTTGGGCGGGAGGAAGGAATGGCCTTCTAAAAATGATGAAAGTGGTATATAGAGGCAAAACAGGTTGAGAACAACCGATTTAATCAGATGTTCTTTGGCTAATTTCATTTTTAAATTTTCTTACATTTTGATTCTGAGAAATTTCCCATTAGTGAATGAAAACTTTTGTTTATCAAAATATTTTTAAATAGGATGAAAATAAAATTAATAATTAATGTATTATTTGTGTGGATAATACAAAATATTACATATACATTGTGTGGATACAAATATTAACTTATTAAAAATTGTTTGAATCTCCATATAAAAATTTACTAATATCTATAGTACACAAATACAACTCAGATCAAACAAAATTTCTAGGAAAAATACAATTCAGATTAAATTAATAAGAAAAATTATTCTTAAAATCATCAGAAACGGGAAAATGAAATTTCCTAATTTACATTTTATTAATTCAGTAAAGTTCCTTTATTGCTGAGAAATATTTTCCTTAGTAAAGGTTGAAAATTAAAAATTGGGAGTTTTGGTGATCTACCAGGAGATATGATGAAAAACCGGCACAGTTGGCAGCTATGTTATTGCTTGAAAAAAAAAAAAAAAGAGAGAGAGATTTTATAGTTATATGGTATTTAAAAGTGAGAATATTCTAGCCATCAGCATTATTTTAAAGTAATATTGATACTCTAGCCATCAACAATGCTTTAACCCTCTCACTTGCATGGGGTTTTGCTAAGCCCAAATTTCTCAAAACTGCCGTGAGAAAAAGGTATTTTCTTGAATTTAATGCCAAAATATTCTAGATACCTTATACAGGTATTTATGTACTTTTAATATATCACATTAATTTCTATTTCAAGATATATATTTTTTCTTAAAGACATAACAAAAAGTATCCTAGGCTGTCAGTCAGAAGGCTAATATCAGAATGACCATATACTGGTTTGACACAATTTCAGTTCAGCTATACAACAATGAAAACATTATGCCACTAAATTCAGCAAGACATACACACATCATTGAAAACACTACACATTACATATAACATACAATCAAAACACTGCCACTTAAAATTTTAAATATTACAATTAATTTAAGCATGGAAATTTATATAGTTCATTGATTTTTTCTATAAATTTCTTATCTGTGTAAAGACTTTTTGATGACAACAGCCAAAATGCAATATCAATTTTAATTCTTCCTATGCAAAATGTCAGTAAAGATTTTAAGCAATAAAAGAATTTTTTCATTAGTCATACAAACAGGTGATACAATGATTGATGTATTAAAAAGAATATGATATCTATTAGCATTTATTAATTTAAAATAGTTAAGGTGTACTTTCATTAAGTTTTTAAAAAAGCAGACTCCTTGACTGGCCTTTTCTAATTGAAAGCTTGCATTAAAGTTACTTTGAAATAGATATATCTACAAAACAAGGCTTGAAATTCTTTACCTTCTGATACTGAAACTGCAATCAACAAAAGCATACTGACTTTTTATACAAAATTTTTCATGCTTTTTATTTTTTAATACATAGTGCACAAAGTACAATCAAAAATTAATATGGAAATTAAAATGTTCATATTCAAAATGAAATAGAAAATCTAAAATATATACAATAAAATACATTTAATTCAATAAAGGAATGACATTTTCCTGGAATTCATTAAAGTTCTTGGAATTTTCAATTCATTCTAAATGCTTTTCTGCATTACCATTGCATACTCAGATTAGCTATTATTATTGTCGGACACAGAAGTTTAAAATATTTCAAACATAACTGAGACTTTAATATTCCTATTAAACTTCTGTTTTTAAAGCCACAATCTGCAAAACAAAGGATAGGCATTACTTTTCGGAGAGGTTCTCTTTCTTTCTTAATTAGAATAGTAGCATTTGAGACAAAATATTATCAGCTTTGCCATACATCTCTTTTCGCTTAGTTTTGAGAAATTTTGAATGAGATTGTTACTGTATTATTTATCTCAAACTATGATGGATAAAGTGAATTACTAAAAAATACGCATTTCAATAGTAGATACATGAAATTCTTTAATTAATAACATTCTGCATAACTCAACCATTCCACCTTAGGATTTGTATGATTTAAATCATTTTGATTTGATTGCATGATTTACATGATCAATACTTCATCACCAATAAAATAGAGTGACAGAAGAATCGATTAGACTAAATATGTTATCTTAAATCTAATTTATTAGTTTTACAATTTCTTTAAGAGCTTTGATCCCGAGAAGGTGCAATATATTCTCACACACACACACACACACACATAGTCAATTCTTTAAAAGAAAAATTAGAATTTTGACACTTTTATTCTGCTTAGAAAAGATGTACAGCACTTAGCTAAATGATATCCTTTAACTTTATGATGAAAGTAGATTTATCATTGCACTAAAACTGCACTGCATGCAACAATTTTATATGAATTGGTTTCATATCTAACATTACAGAAAGATTATGACCTCAAAGATAATACAAGTCAGAAAAAAAAAATAATACAAAGATTTAAATAAATAAATAAATAAGCTGAATGACATGCTGATGGTTTTCTAGAGAAACATACATATTTATTTAAAATAAAGCCACCTTTATAATAACAATGATAGCATCACCACTATACTAGTAAAAATATAATTAACCTTTTTTCACTTTATAAATGAAAACTTTGGGGGAAAAAAAATCAACTTTCCACAAAATTGCTCATACTGTTGTAATTTATGCTTTGAAAATATGCAAATAAGATAACTAACAACTACAAGATGGTTATAGTCTTCCTAAAAACATAGTTTTTCTAATACATTATCAAAACTAATTGCAATGATTTTTCATTAATTAATGATAGTTACATAATCTTTTATGAATTATCAAACTGTCACATTTACATGGTGAATAAAATTTAAAAAGCCTCACAATCATAAATTATTATATAATTTTTGGCTTTTGAATGAATTTGAATAAACAGACAGATAGATAGAATCACCATAAAGTTAAAAAGAATTATGAAGGAAGATAAATAAAAAAGAAAAAGACAAGTCTTGGTTACTGAATACTTATGCTTATATAAGCATTTGAAAATTGAAAACATGATATTCATATATCTAAAAAAAACATTACTATTTTATTTTTTATTACGGTATCACTGCATTCCATATTACTTGTTGTTTCTTTCTTTATTATTTTTAAATCAATGATACCACACTGATTTCCTGTATTAACAAGCAATTATTTTCTATGTTAACTATCTGATTTATAGCTTAATAAGCGAAGAATAAATAAACACTTTTTATTTTGGCTTTTACATAACAAATGAAACACCAACACTTGTTTGTGAATTTTTTAAATTTAGTGATGTAACCACAGTAAACATATGAGTTGTAAGAGAAGATAAAAATATATGCAAACTGCATATTCATTAAAATTTTAAAAATGAAAATGAGCATTTTTATCATGACAAATAAATAATGACTAAAAGGGAAATTACACAGTTTATTTCTTTGGTTAATAAATGATATGAATTTATGATCATATTCTTTATATAACATTTGCTGTCATTATATTTTTATTCATATTTTGTTTAAATTAAAATCAGCCCATTTCTCTAAAACATCACAAAAACTATCAAACAATAAATTATAAAAATGTTTAACAAATTAAAAATTAAAACTTTTTTAAAGACAGAAAAAATATTTTACAACTCTTAGCAAATATACAAAGTGTTTACAAGTAATAACGGTGAAAGGGACTAATAAGTATTGACACTCCATTAAGATCAAAATAATGAAATTTAATCTTCAGCGCTTGAAATGTGAATCTCAAACACATTTGAATGGACTGCAGCAATGCAACTGAGAGGCACCTCTCAAGTGCAAAGATTTAAAAATTAGGACAGTCATATTTTTGTATAAACAAAATGATCTTCTAAAACTGCCCTTGTGCAATGACTTACAATTTCACTAAACACTAAATTAAACTGAAAGAGCTGCCTGATATTCACATTTCCTTTAAGAAAACATTTATTTTTAAAAGTTTTTATGATATCAGTTTCAACATTCAGAGTGCTTGCCACATTTACTTTTATGAATAATTCTTGATCAATAAAATTACACATAGCAAGCTCTCATATTGTAATTGTCCTTCTATACAAACAACTTTTTGTAATTAAAAATTTACTAATAAAGATGCCAAAATATCTGAAAAGAGTATAGTTTATATGCAGGTAAAAATTTATTAATATACCTATTTTCTGTAAAGACTTTCTATCTTTTATGTGCATTATTTTTTTTTTTTACAAAATTAATTTAGATATACATCTCAACATCACCCATTTTATACTTCATTTAATTGAAAATCTCAGATATAAAAATTGTATTTTAACAATTCATCCTTATGTCATATTATTTTCAAAGTCAAATACGATACAGTATAAAGTTAATTGGCTTCAGAAATTCGATAAGTTTCATATTTATTTTGAAGGGACTGTAGTTCACTATGTGACAAAGCATCCTGAAAAGACAAGAACAAATTTAAATTTTTAATTAAAAAAATTAACATAATATTTAAAACCTAATACAAATAATAGTTAGTCAAGAATCTAATTAATAAAAAATCACACATCCATGAAAACTTATCTCATAAAAAAAATCTATACATGTAATAAGATGTTTCTTAATTTACTTTGTCTTAATAATTCAACTGCCCAATTATATTATTCAAAAAAGTATACTTTTGAAAGAGTACTTTGAAAATTTACTTAAAAATCTACATACTTATAATGACTACTTTAGAAATTGATAAAAATTTAATATTTTTATTAATATCAAATATTAAGATTCCTAATAAAACAGCTTAAATATTTTAAAGTGTTCTTACATCTTCACTATTCACAGGAATTTTCAAAGCTCTATCAATCAAAGAAACTGCACTAGAATAATCTCCATCACTTATATAAGTCTGTAAAAGGAGCAAATTTACACATTACAAAAAGAGGCAAATTTGGCAAAAATATGAAAACAAGTTAATAAGAATTTGAATAAAATCAGTTACCCAAACATTCATATTTTAAAACACAAGGGAAAAAAATCATTTAAAATAACTAAAAATGTATTACACAAAAACACTTTCATACATTCCCAATTTTGTAAAGTAAGTAATTTGATGAAAAAATTTTAAACAACTTTATTAACAGTAATAAAGCAGAATATGAAATTAAAAATGAAAATTATGGAGTAACAAACAAAATTTATATAAAACATCTTACATACCTTGGCAAGAAAGAGCAAGTTTTCTTTCCAGTCAGGTTTTAATTGATCTGCCTGCAAAAATAACACATGTGCAATGAAACAACAAACTGGCTTTAGCAACAAATTCTTCTTAATTAAGTAATTCATGTACAGTCTTATAAAATAAATGCTGTATATAACAGAAAACATCATTTAATCAAACAACAGGCACAAAAAGCAATAAGAAATTTGTTATTTCCATTTTCACATCTGAGAGTTTTTTTTGCTGAATATTATATGTATACATGTGATAGATGTGCACAGATATATATAAGTATGAAATTTAGAACCAAATTTTACACAAAGACCAAAAATTGAAATTCACAAGTAATAAATTTTAAAAAATCCTATAAATGTATAAAAGAATTTAATAAATGTTAAAACTAAAATACTTCAATACATATATATACATAATAGGCCTACACATAGCTCATATATGCACGAGCACAAAAAAAGTCAGAATTTATCACACAGGAAAAAACTGAAAATCATGTTGCCTCCCAGATGTCAACTGCGAAAGCTTTCAACAAATTTTGCCGGCATTTGAAAACAATTGGCAAGAAATTTCCTCATTTAGATTGAAATAAGCTACCATAGTCTATTAATTATTGTTTTTGAAACAGTAATTAAAAAAATATCTTTCCAAAAGTTGCTAAACTTGTATCTACAACTGAAAACAACTTGCATTGTTTAAATCAGAGAGCATGCAGGAATTGTAATTTGGGTAATCCTTCATTCATAAGAAAACAAATGTGCACAAGTAGGAAAGATAGTAATTGTACTCAACAAATTACACTAAACATTATGAATTGAACATGTTTTGATTCAGAGGTGAGATTTTTAACACCTCTAACAAAGGAACTAAGATGAATTTCATGGCTGCTAAACAAGGAGGAATCTGCAACTACATTCTCTCAGGAAAAAAGAATTATCCATAGTAAATGATTTTGCTCAAATAGCATGATTATATTTTGAACAGATTAACAGGCAGGTGTTAAATACTCACTCTAAATCATTGAACTGATAGGGATATGATAATTTGTTCCTAAACATGAGAAGGTGGTATAAGTTGGATGACTATCAGTTGGCGGATTTGTACATAGTGTAATTACAAAATTGTATATAATTTAAAAAGCTAATTGTTTTCAGACTTTTCTTATACTGTTACTAAAAAGATGAGCCTATTTCATCCAAATAAATATTTAGTCTAATATTAAGCTTTATCCTAGTCTGTCAAATAGCTCACGGACAGTGAAAATTACTTTTTTCCTTTTCTAATTTTCTTCCTTGTTCCGACACGAAACTTAGCCATAAACTAATCAATTTTTATTCACTAGCTAGTATATTAACAGATGTTTTCACTCACATAAGAACTCCGCAACAAATGTCCCTCAAGCATTCCTAGGCCCTCCCACATTCCATAAATTACTTCTCACAAGTTTCGCCACCTGAAATAATTCAGTATCCCCGCTACCGATAACGAAATTTCGGACACACACCATTTCTGAGTAAGACACAGAAAAGAACACTTTACCGACATCCCACTAGAAAAGAAGAAGAAACAAGAAATGCAAGTTAGAAAATGTTAAAAGAAGAAAGACATAAGTTAATTAATGCATTTTCTGGCCTTTTATATCTTCACGTACATTTCACATTTTTTTCTTATTACAGTCAAAAGTCGTTAATCCGGACTCGTCGGGACTTCGATTCCGGATTATAGATCATCAGTTTAAATATGGTAAGATGGCATGCAGAAATTACAAAATTAAAAATATGAAACCGTAATTTATGAAATAAAGAACAATTATGATCTAAAGGGTATCAAAATTTACAAAAAGAAAAAGCTTAATATTTATTTGTTTACTTTATTAAACATTTCTTTCAATGTAAGTTGTTTAAGTTGCTTCATTTCATGTGATAATACTTTCTCTTTAATACTATTAAACAGACATAATTTCTTGTCATAATCGCTCCGGTCGGTTGCTACAGCTCAAAGTTTAGGTACTGGTCAGGGATTTAAAAAATGTTCGTGTAAATCCCAGTGTGACAACAAAAAATGTTTTTGTTTTAGAAATAATGTTCTTTGTAATTCCAAGTGTCGTTTTAGTAATCCTTGCTGTAACAAATGATTTTATGGTACGTTTTTGTAAATACCATTTATACGACATAAATAGATAAATGCTTCTTTTTATTTTAATTGTCTATCATTAGTTTTATTATGAATACTAGTTTTCATTTTAGATAAATTGTTTATTTTACACTTTAACTGTCTCTCATTAGTTAATTTATAGAATACTAGTTATTTCTAGAATAACTAGTTAAAGGTCAATTATTACATATTACACACTTAACGAACACACAGATATTTCATGAATAACTAGGTATTCTATGAAATAAGCATTATATACTTTAATGGTAACATACGAGGCCATCCAGGAAGTAGATTACGTTTCCGTCTGGTCCCTAGGGGCGGGCTAGCGCGGCCATCTTGGGGTCAGAGCGTTGCGCAGCTCAGTCTGCATCTAGCCGTGCTAGTGAGAGGTTCGTGCGTGCTCCGTTCAGATACTGTGACGGTTGAAAATGTCTGCGTTATTGAAAATCCCGCGAGCGCGAGGTGCGCTCAGTAATAAGGTTTCTGACTGCAAAAAACTGTAAACCGATAGAAATCTATCGGCAGCTTCGTAATGTATGGGACAACATTATCACTGAAGGTGGGTGCGTCAGTGGTCATAAGATTTAAAAATGGCCGAACCAATGTTCACGACGAGATCGAGGGGAGACCCAGCATAGTGACCGCCGAACTTCTCGAAAAAGTCGTGCTAAGTCCGTGAAAATCGAAATTTCACAATAACGGAACTTTCTTTGAGTTTTCCACAAATTTCGCGAGTTGTTGCACGAATCATCAGCGAAAAGCTTGGTTACCACAAGTTTGTGCAAGATGGATTCCAAAATCTTGACACGAGGACCACAAAAATCAGCGATGGCTGCAGCGTTGAACTTTTTGGACGCTTACCAAAGGATGGTGACTCTTTACTCGATCGCATCGTTACTGGTGACGAAAATGGGTGAAACATGTGAACTGTGAAACGAAATTGCAATCAATGCGTTTGATGACGACACAGATGCAGAAGAGGTAACGAAGTGTTGAAGGCGCAGGCGGCGAATTTTTCGACGAGAGGAATTTCAAAGCTCGTACATCGCTACGATAAATGCCTTAATTTGTATGGTGACTATGTAGAAAAGTAGTATTTGAGGTGGCTTTCATCTGTATATAATAAAATTTGTTTCCTATACTTTGTTTATTTTTTTATTCCAAAACGTAATCTACTTTCTGGATAGCCCTCGTATATATAATGATTAGTATGATTAGTACCATATATATTTCCCATCAGAATAGTGAATAGTAACTAAACTTCTGATTTTATAGTAAATAACAGTGGTAAATCAAACAAAGGCGATTTATCAGGAAATAACCCTGTGCGATTTTTGAGAGGAAGGAAACTCATACTACTTAAAATGCTTAACCCTTAAAGTTTCAAAACAAATAACAATAAGCAACTATTGAAAAATGTAAAAAATAATTTTCCATTTGCTTTTCTTTTTCTTTCTGTACAAAAATGCAACCACCTTAGTACAGAGGGTGCTTACATATTTTTAGAATGACTTTGGAACAGTTTCATTTTTTTCAAAGAATGCAGAGGTATTTTTAAAAGTATGACTTGTTGCTTGTTGAAGTTTCACTCTTTGAAAGTCATTTGGATAAAGAAATTAAAAAGTCATTTGGATAAAGAAATTAAATTTCTACCGTAAATATCAGATGTAAAACTTTCTCTTGATTTTACACTGAGTTGATTTTAACATTTTTTCCCCACTCTTCTTATTTTTACTCTCCCATTTTAACCGAATTCTGTGGCAAATATCTGGTTGTAATGGAAGTTTTCTGTCAAAAAAATATTCTTAATAAAGTTAGAAAAAAAAATGATGCAAGCAGTACCTTTAGTTAGTTTTTTTTTTATCACCATCTAAATCTATGATTTTTATCAACATTTTGGTAGTTTTCTAAAGCCTTCAGCATGAAACTTGGTGGCCATGAGTCCAAAAACAGATCCAACTCATTTCTGACATCCTCTGCAGAATGGGAGATAGAACTAGCAAGATATAGCTGCAGGTGTGAAAAAAGGTAGAAGTCCCAAGGAGCAATGTCGGAGCTGTATGGTGGGTGTGGCAAAAGATCCCGTTCGAATCCATACAGAGTTAAGAGGGCAAAGGCAGACACATGTGGTCTTGCATCATCTTAATGGAACATTACCTTTTACGCCGGAACTCAGTTCGAGACTTTTCCTTGATAGAAGTCAACACAGACTAGCATCTTGCTGTACATCTTACTGTCAAGGGTTTTACCTTTACTGTCAAGGGATACCATGGCAATTCCAACAGATACAAAGCATAATCTTTTTGTAAGTCAAATTGCTTTCTGCGATGCTGATAATGGGCTCGCCAGGCTTAGACCAACTCCCTTTTCGGCCTGTGTTGCTGAAATAAATCCACTTTTCCTCACAAGTGATGATCTGGTCCAGAATATTGTCCTTGTGTTGATATTTGAGTGTTCAGGCCTGAATGCATCTGTCCTTATATGCTTTAGTCAGCTCATGCAGCACCCAGTGACTGAACTTGTACATCAAGTTTATGCGATGCACAGTGTGATTAATGGACATGACACTAATGTCTAACTCCTTAGCAAGCTCTCGAGTGGTTACATACAGATCTTCTTCCACAAGTTCTCGCAGGCAACCTTCATCAACATCAGAGGATCGGCCAGAGCGCTCTGCTTCTTGAATGTCATAGTCCTTGTTTTTGAACTTTCGGTATCCAACCTTCACAATGTCATGTGAACATTAGTACCTAAAACCATACACAGGATTTGGTGACATTCTGTAGCTAACTTTTTGCAACAGAATTAAAAGTAAATGATGGTTCTAATCTGGCAGTACGATAGTTTCATTTCAAACACATTTGTACTTAATGATAACAATATTTTTTTACAAATTTCACAACACTGTGTTCTAAAGCAAGTCTGTTTCTTTCAAATGCCGAAAATTGTTTGACAAAATATCCCTCTGTAAAAGTTACAAAATTTTCAGAATGTGCAAAACTTTGGCAACCATTCTTCAGGGAAACACACTTATAACAATCCTTCATTCAAGCAATATCATCATTTTCATATGCATTTTTTATTGTATTCCTAGCTTTTAGAAACAAATCATGATACTTTTTGCCTTAATTAATTTTAAAATATGCACTTGTGGAATTTGCCAACAATGTAAGAAATTGCAGTGCAATTTTGGCAAGAATACAGAATATTGATGCAAAATCTTTAAGGGGAACAACTTTAAGCAAACAACTCGTGAAATTTGCGGAACAACTTTAAAGGGAGCAACTTGCGGAATTCACCAGCAACGGGAGAAACTGCAGTAAAATTTCGTCAGGAATACTGAATATTGATGCAAAATCTTTAAAGGGTACAATAAAGGGATGCACATTTGGTAACTAGCTGGTACAGCAAAAACAGATCGCTGTGTACTCAGGGAAAATACCACACAAGCACACACACACAAAAAAAAAAAAAAAAAAAAAAAAGAGAGGAGAGAGATTTGGAGAAGAAAATTAAGTTTTTAAAAATTTTTAATTTAACACAAAATTCTTAGTTAATAATTAAAAAATTGTATTTTAAACTGTTAAAGTGTGTTTTCACTTAACATGCTGGTAACATTTGCCAATTTATGATAAATATCGATAGTTTTTGAATATTTTTAATAAAAGTTAAAAAAACCATCAGCTTAAATCCAATAAGAAACTTTTTCTACCTGTAAAAACCTGCCAAACTGCACCAAGGTGATTGTGTTAAGGCACACGTACCAGTTGTAACACATTTAAAATATATTTCTTTACAAAGTATCAAAAAGAATTTACTTGCTTCCATTACTTGCTTTCAATTATTATTATTTTACTTCTTCTTTTTAACTTGATTAATTTGAATCATTAAAGTGATAGTTAGAAATATACATACTTTTAGTAAATATTCCCTAGCTTCCTCTAAAGTGGCTTCTGGTGGGGTGGAAAATAAAGTTGAAGCAACTTTTCTTTCCAACCACGACAGCACAGCAACCTAAATATATTATAGAAGAAAGTTATCTAAAATTTTAAAAAATTCATCCATTTTTATCATGATTCATATTCTCTTCACAACAACAAAAGACTAATTTCAAGAAGTTTACATTCCCCCAGATGATTAATTTTAATAACAATACCATCCCTCAAAAAATTTATCACAATATATTAAATTATTTTACATGGTAAACATCTGAACAAATTGCAACAATCCTTTTGAAGTGGTTTAAAATTTATTTCTCTTATTCTCATTTTTAATAAATTTTTTATCAAATAGTTTACTTTGTAGGGTTTCCCTTATTTGCATAACAAATTATTTTAGTTTAGTACTTTTCCTGAGCCTCTCATATTCCCCTAGCATTTCCTCACCGGGATGCAAATTTAAAGTTAAGTAAAGTGAGTATTGAAATGGATGAATCTTGTAGTTTATTCAGGACGTCATTTCGCTAGCCAGCACACATTACCAGTTTATCCTTGCTGTTGCGCCGAGTTTCTGATATGCTTTTCGGCCAGCTAATATGCACATTGCAAGATAGGTTGTTGAGTCAGCCTAGTTAGCCTTAAATTAAACTGATAGTCCAGCACTACTCTTTATCTTTGAAATTATTGTGTAACTATTCTTAAGTTCCACTGCAAGTCGCCGGAGTTACTGTAAGCATGAAGTTTGTGATTTGTGTTCAGAGAATGACAAATAATAAAGGATCATTTTACCATTCTTCTGTGCTGATTCATCTCCCTTGCTTTATGCCTGTGCGAGAAGTCACCAGGTTCTCTCGCAAGATCACTTTAACTATATCATAGCTAAGAAGGTCAGATTTTACAACTTCTCTTTCTATTCAGCTTATAAATATATGTTAGATTGCACCAAAAATTACTAATCTCATAATATTTCTGCAATATATCTTTAAATCTCATTCTCTAAATTTTTTTTTTTGGGGGGGAAGGAGATCACAAAAAGAAATCAATGATATTCTGCAATCTTCAAATGGTCAATAAAAAATTCACTATATATAAAGCAATCATTTATGAAAAAAAATTTATTTTTCAAACTACATTTAATAATAAAAATGCAAAACATCATGATAAAAATCAAATTAAGAGGACCATATGATAAAATTAAGTAATTCAGTTAACAGCCAAATTTGAAATGAACTTAAAAGAATTCAGCATTTATTAAGAATTCAAAAAAAAAAAAAAAAAAAAAAAAAAGAATACTTGTTAACCTGCTCAGTTTCTAATTCATACAGTTAACTTATTGAAGACCATGGCTTATTTATCATTCAAGTATATGATGCTTCAATTAATGAGGTTTAGTTGAAATTTTGGCCAATGTAATTCTACGCCCTTGTTCTTTCTGTAACTTAAGACACTGTTTGCAAAGTTTCTGATTCAGATCACAGCTGAGAAAATTTTCTTATCTTAAGATTAATAACTGCAGTATTTTAGAGACATTGTAAATATGTGAGCATTCTTTTTTGAATGCTAGCTGATAAGTAGTTGAAATAAAACATCTGCATCCTGTTTTTTAAGGTTTTCGAGTTCAAATTCTTTCTACCGAGATGAACACATTCTGTTCCTATCAAGTTCCCAGAAAAGTTCATGATATACTTCTTAGTATTATCACATATTACTAGTTTTTGAATGGAAAGGGAGTGGTTGCTGTAGAAGAAGTAAAGAAAGCATTAGTGATGCCTGTATCCATGAAGTGACAGACAAAATGCTGGCTAGAAAGATGAGTTTTGAAATTGAACAAAATCACTGGAAAAATCTTTTTTAACTTGTTGTTTGTGCAACTTGTACCACACTAAAAAGGTCTAATCGAAAAGACATAAAAGCATCAATGAGAAGGATGAAAATACAGCCAAAGAGAGGCAGCATTTAAACTGGGAATTTCTCACAAAGTGCAATCTACTTAAACAATGAACAATAATTGATAAAAAAAAAACTATGAAAAAAACACAAATTTCTCAAATGCAAAATAATAAAAAATCAAAATAAGCTAAAATTACTTTTCCAGAATGGTTTCAAGCTAAAAGATTACAAAATATCTCATTTTTACAGCTCTTTTGACCACAAATTCATTTGCAAGTGATAAAAGAGAAAAGGCATTGTGCAATAGAAACAAGATGGTGAGAACCAAAAGACAGATTATCATGCAGATAAAAGACATTTTACCTAGACAGCTAAAGAAATACAGGCCACATGAAATTTATAACATTGATGAAACTGCTCTCTTTTACAGATCAAACCACAAAAATGTTAAAATACAAAGCGAAGCATTATCTAAAGTGAAAGATAATTCAGATAGCTCAGTCCACTCAGAACTAAACAATTCGCAATAACAGTAACTAAACAAACTAACTAAAGCTTGACTTGATATGAGGCGAGTAGCTAGCACTCTTGCTAGCTGTGTTCCGGCTCAGCTGAAATGGCGCTGAAAGTAGAACAATCATAACATCAAATACTCAATAGAGAATCATAAAGTGAAAAATAAAAAGGCCCGAAACATAACAGGGCGGGATGTGGCACCATGAAGCATGGTAGAAAACAGTCCTCTTTTAGTGAGAAGCAGGAAAATTAAAGTTCCAGATCATTGAAAAGATCTACTAAATACAGTGCTAACTGTTGTCTCTCTTGGTGAGATTTCAATTTCTGAAACTTGGTAATAAATTCCATAAATTTACTGAAGAATCCAGCAAATTTATCTATCAAATTCCCAGCAGAAAAATTTGTCTTGGAAGGTGAAACAGAAATCTTATCAGGAATTGTTGAGACATGCACAGAAGCGCTAGCATCAGGAGATGCTTTCCTATTTTAGGAGACTTCTTAACAGGTTTTAAAGTTCACTCAGGAGCAGGTTTATCTTAGGGATTTAAATTTTGAATTTTAGGATAAAATTTGCAACCTTTGGCTGGCATCGGTTCCTGGGGTCTGGCACTGGAATTCTCGTTTGGCTGGCGTCGGTCCCCAAACAGTATTAACATTCTCGACCACGAGCTTTGTCACGCACAGACAGGGCTTGTATGTCGGTAGCTGACAAAGTTCACCAACAGAAAAGCTCTACTCAGTGCATGAAGTCATGGATCACCCTGCAATATTGCAGCACTTGATCGCTCACTGAACAGAAAGGACAGCAAATTCGGCACCGTGCTCAAAGTGTTAAATGAAGCTACACGACTTTTTTGGCATTTAAAACAAGTTGGTTTATCTTCTTTCTTCAAATCACAAGTAAGATGGATTTCCCATACTTGAGACACCTTGGGGAATTGTTGCAGCAGAGTTGTCCGTGTCCAAATCTTTGGCAGCGAGAACAAATCAAAGAATTTTTGTTGGTTCTAAATCCTCTGATAATAACTTTCAGATTCAATAAAGTTTTCTTTTTATAAATGTTGTGACCGGTGTCATTCTGCATCAAAGAAGCGAAAAACACAGGAAGCTTCACCTCAGTACCTTGGGATTTCCTGATAAATTGTGCGACTTTGGTTATAGAGTAGCCATTTGGTTATAGAGTAGTTCTAGTGAATATGGGGGGGGGGAAGAAAAAATATCCCTGCCACACCTAAATAAATCTTTGACATTCAGTGAAATGTGGGGCTGAGCATTGCCCTGATGAAAGACAAGAACTTGACGATAATTCAGTTCCGGGTGCTTTGTTCTGAATTCTGCTTTTAACACTGCAATACAGAAAGAGTATTTTTCCTAATTTATTGTCTTATTTTGGTGGCAACAATTTACAGCATACAATACCTCATAGACCTATATCATATACATTGCTTTTGAAGAATGTAGTCCCACTCTCAGTGCAACTAAAGGTATTAATTTCACCTCATTATCTTTTTCTTGTAGTATTCCTGTATGGCATCCACTTCTCATCTCTAATAGTAAACTGTTTCAAAAGAGGAGCTTCTTTAGTTTTTCTCCAAGCAAAGAAATACAAGCTGAAACTTGAGCAAGCATGTTCTGCTCTCTTTGGGTAACAATAAAAGGTATAAATTTACATAGCCAATCTTCTTCAAATGATCATTTACGGTGCTTTATGGGATATTTAGTCTGTCTGATGTTTCTTAAATCTAATATGGATTTTAAGTGATAGCACTTTTTAATAGGTTCTTTTTACACAGGATGATTGCCCAGAGTGGGAATCACCTTTGAAGCTTAAATTTTTGCACTTTTCAAGCCACCTTTGAACTGAGTTATTAGAAACAGCACTTTGCCCATGTATAGCATAAATTTTACAAAGAGTTTGACTAAATTTTTTTTAGATTTTAAAATAAAAGAGAACAATACATGATAATGAGCTTTTCAGTTCTCCATTCTACGCACTGCACTAAAACATAATTTATTACATAACACATGTCAGAATCATACAACACAAGCAGAAAAGACTTTATTTAAATACCTGTTTTGATCAAGATCACTTCTTATCAGCAGTGACAAAATAATCAGAAGAAAATATACATTTTAACAAAAAAATAAAACTTTTCCAGATGACCCAATAATAATTTATCTAATTTTCTTTTAAAACGGAACAGCAAACTGAAAACTGAAAAATATATTTATTATTAGACAACTGTGCTGCACACCTCTCTGATATCATACTGGCAAACATTAAATCAGTGTTCTTCCAACAAATACAGTTTCTAACATTCAACTTTTAGGATATTAAAAAAGCTTTTAAATCTCATTACAGAAAAGATGTAATAAATGATAAACAAAATTTAATGTTGTGAAAAATGCGAGGCTATGTATAATATACTCAATGCACAGAGGGAGGCAGTCTCTCAAAACATAACTGAAAATTACTTTTAAATATGAGGTTTTTATTTTGAATCCTTGGAAGAATTACAAGCTGCAGCCAATGTTTCATACATTAAGAAGAGAAGTTATGGCCAGCCAATTTTAGAATACATTGCAAGTGATAATAACATTGAGAAAACCAGTGGAAAACTAAGTACAATATTACAAAAAAATGTTAAAAGCTGCAGAAACCGAATTTGACAGTGACAGTTATGCAGAAGAAAGTTACAGTGTACAAACCCAAAAAGAATTCAGATAAATACTTTGAAAGCTAGTGATCAGGACAACTACTAGCAGTTTTAAAACTTGAGAATACACACACACACACACACACACACACACACACACAAAAAAAAAAAAAAAAAAAAAAAAAAAAAAGAAAAAGAAACTTTGTTTCTCTCCTTTTTTTAAATTTACACTATTTCATAATAAATAATTCATTTGCAGAGATGCCAATGACTATCAATGCTCTCAAGAACTGCAAAAATCCTATGCGGAACTCATAAATAATAAGTAAAATAATTAAAATTGATTTCATTATGAAAATTTTATTTGAAATCAATCATTCAGATCCAACAAACAATTAATTTTAGATCTTGTATTCTAAAACTACTTTGTTTCCACATACTAACAAACTGGATAAAATGAACCGTTTCCTGAGATGAAATAAAGAACTGAAATTCATACTGTTTATGCCTGCTAAAGAAACTTTACTTCAATGAAGTCAAAATTTGTATTAGATTTTTGAAATGAAAAAATTTAATTAATAAGCAAAATAATAATAATGTTTCTTTCAACCTCCTAAAAATGACTAGCAAAGGCTTAAACTCAGTGCATAAAAATCTAGGTAAAGATCATTAATTTTAATTTCTGTTTAAGTTCATTCAATATGTTTTTAGTTAGACTAACCACTTTAAATTTACAAACACAGAATATCAGCTTAATAAATCAAGTAACTACTTTTTCTTAAAAGTTCAACAGTTTCCCCCTCCCAACTAGCTACCAACTTAACTTATTAGAAAAGGCAATAAATAATATTATACATTTTGCACAAATTTTAGAATAACTTAATTATTACCTCATAGCACCATCTCCCCAACATATAGTACAATGATGGATCTAAAGGCTTTAGTGCGATAGCTTTATCAACATGTTCCTAAATCAGAGATATAGTATTAGCATGTATTTCATTCAAATAGGAAATATTAGTTTTTAAAAGGAAAACTTAATATAAATATCATAAAATTAGATTTAAGGCATTTTTATTAGCACAACAATTCTTCAAAGTGAACGTAAAATTGTAATTTCGGTTTGAGATGAAATTATGAATACCTTAATAATAATCCATTAACAAAAGCAAAAGCATCATACATATGGCAAGCTCAATGTGGAAAAAGGGATTAAATAATTTGGACTGAAGAAAATATGCTCAAAGACTGGCAAGAATACAATGGAGACCATTTCTGCACCTATTCTTTTGCTTCATGATAAAAATTACTGTGGAAGACATGAAGTCTGATTCAGATATAGCAAAGCAATGTTGTGTATACACGTATCTTGTTAATTTTAACAGGTGAAATTCATCAAGCCTAGTTTCAAAACATTTTAGGACACCTTCTACTGCAACATTTGAAGATAGTTATATAACTAAAAATGTAAATATACTGAGAATACATTACACAGAAATTATGACTGAGTAATAATAATGAAAATATATTTTCGCAGGGAAACAGTGATTTACAAAAGATTCAGTTAAGAGAAAAAAGGCAACTTTTAATTCAAAAGCAATAGCCTACTTGCTAATTTTGAAATACGAAATACTGAGAATTTCTGGGAGGTCATGGTACACATTGATAACCATTTCGAAAGAACTCTCTGCCAGCTTTAATTAACATTTGATGTTCTTCGACTAATTCATTCAGAAATTTTCTTCTCCCCAAAGAAATTAGATGGTCCATCATTTCCATTTTATCTCCTACTACAGTTTTTCACTTTTTTTGCTTAATCGTGTTTACTTGCATGAATGTCTCAGCATCAGTTTTTTTTTTTTTCCCACCTATATCAATGACTCAACATTTTTCTTCCTATATACTGCAGCAATGTTATTTTGTGGCATGGTATCAAACAATTACTGAATGAATTAAATACAATTACAGATTAAACAGTATGAATCATGTACATAGATGATGTGATACTCTTAAATAAAGCTTACGGTGTTTCATTAGAAGTAAACCAAATTAATGGGAGATAAAAATCCAAGTTAAAATGTTGGTATTAAGAGAACAAACTATGCATTTAATGATTTAATTGCTAAGCACTGCAACCATATTCAGGAAAAAAAGTCATTATGTGATGACAAGTGCACCATTCTTAAACAAAGCATATTTACACCTGATGGGACTGTATTTAGGAACTCTCTCAGAAAAACATAGAATAATAACACTGCCTGATATGCCAGCTTTGACTACAAGTAACAATTCAGATATATATTAAGGAATATTTAATTAATATTTAGCTTTTCATTTTTAGAAGCTGTAAGAAGGAAGGATAATAATAATAAAAAAAATCTCATAAATCTTAGGGCAATTATTGAATAACAAAATCAGCTTGGGGCACTTTTATGAAATTTTAGGAATGTTAGGACAACTCCTATATTTAACTTTTGTTTTATACAGAATTATGAAGAAATGATTAAGAAACAATAACTGCAGCTGCCACAGGGTTTTTCATTTCAGCAAACTTTGCTCTATTTCATTTTTCATGACCCAAATGTAAAAACTAAATACATTACAAAGTCCAAAATCTAAACATCCAATATCCAGATTTCCAGAACACAAGCATTCCCCCCCCCTTTCTTTTTTTACAAAATTTACGAGTGCTGAATACAGTACTTCAGGAAAAGCAGGTATGTTGTAAAAGCAATTTTTCTCTTAAACTCAAATTCCTGCATGCCACTTTCAAACACCCCTGGCTATAGAGTCAAACTGTGGCCAATGCCAATATATTGATTGACATAGCTCAGCTAATTAAAGTAATATGAAAATGAGAATGGTTGAAATGGCTTCCCACAAATTTTTTGGATCTGGGGTACTTCTTTCGAAACACATCTCCCCACCCTTCCGAAGAAGATAATGGCACAAACAAACAGACAGATGTGCACACATTTTAATAGTATAAAATTTTTGAAATAATTATTACTTACTTTAAATGTGTAGCCATTCATTATTTTTTCTTGAGTACCAACATAGTCACCAAGAGATCCGACTGTAATAGCACACCACTTATGAACTTCAGGGTTATCTTGATCTAATTCATAAGCTGATTTTGCATACTGAACAGCTGGCAGAATACATATCAGTTAGTTGTAAATAATAATGTTTTATAATATTAATTGTTTATTTACAACATTATTATTAAGATACTGTGCAAAAACACTTCAAACATTTAATTCGCAGTTATTTCAGTTTTTGAGACATTTAGATGAGAGATAAATTTAAAAACCATATGGATATATATATAACTTAGCTGTTAAATAAATGCAGAATATTTTATGCTTTTAATAAATACAATTAATTTCAAATAATCACCTTCAAAAGCAAGCTTTTTCTTTTTGTCAATGTCACCCCGACTCTGAACAACAATACCATAGAGATGAGTAGCTTTAGCAAGTCTCCACAGAAATTCTGCATTGTCTAAATACTAAATTGAAGAAATTAAATTATTACACATTGTTGGAAATAATATAAGCATTTTCTACTTCCCAACAAAAAGAAGAGAGAGAGAGAGAGAAAGAAAGAGAGAGAATCATAAACATATATAAAATAAATATTCATAGTGAGCAATAAATTATATAGAGAAATAATAACAGCTTAATGTTAATGTTCTAATTGATAGTTTTTCTTTCTATTTGTAAGTGCTACTTGCATTTCATTAAAAATTTTAAATAATGTATTAATTTTTAAAATTAATTTTGATGCTTGTTGGTTATATTACAAATATATCACCAAAAATACCACTTATGAATCTAATTCTTGTCAGCCTGTAGGAACCATGAAAGCTGATCCAGCTTCTTTTATATAACGATATTTTTATTATTTTATTTTAATATTTTTTCTCTCTTTTGGGGGTAAGAGATTATGGAGATGGCTTCCTTCTGCCTTCCCTATTTCAATCTGAATTTTGCTCCTGAGCCTGGTTTTGACATGCAAACAATGAAACACATGTGGACATTAGCAAAACAAGTTGTGGAGAAATATACTCTGTTTGATGACATTTTGAAGATAGTTGATTTCCAAACAATACCAACCAAAACTCAAAAAATCCGATTTCATTGCCCAAAGGTGGCAACATATTGTTTCTGGTGCACACTGAATAACTAACAAGTGCCAAAACAGCTCAAGCAATACACATTTTGAATATTAAGAAAGTTTTCTCCACTGTAATTAAAATTCCACAGATTACCATTAAAAAATTTAAATTAATCAAACCATTCATTTGTTTCTTTAATAGGCTGCCCAAACTTTTGTGGAAGAGCTTCTTTTTTCTTCAGATAATAACACAGCCTACCAAAGGGAAAATTCCAAACTAACATTCCAAAAATATATAACAATGATAAATAATTTAACATTGATTACAGACCAAGGAAAAAAAAAAAAAAAAAAAAATACTGAACATAAAAAATAACCAAATTATGAAGGGGGGAATTAGATACAAAAAAACTGCTGGTTTAAATAAATATAAAATAATAATCTGAAGTTGTTTGCAGATTAATCATATGGAAACAAAGAAGGCGTTAAAATTAGGAAAATAGCAACTAATATTATAAATACGATTTTAATAAGATATTTGGCATTGCCCACATTTAATACTTATTTTTTCCACTACTGGGAATATACGACAAAAATTACAATCTTAAATGCTGATTAAAGTTTTTGTCAGTTAAAGATATAAGTAGCCTTAATGGGCTTTCTCTCATAAATAAACAATTCAGTTCACTAATTAAAGAATTTCTCTTTTTATAATTTTAAATTATAAATATAAATATAAATTTCAGATGCAGGTTTTATTTAATATTTCCAAATGACATACCTATTATCTTCTACAGATAGTGGTATTTTTATAAAAAGAAATTCCCAATTAAAATTTTTTATTCACTTTAAAATGACTTTAAAATTTTCAGATAATAACACCTTTTCTGTAAGTTAGTTTTTTTAGTACCTTTTCTGTAAATATGTAAATTATTGTTTAGGTTTTTGGAGCTGCTCATGTAGACCTGTGTTTAAACACCATTTATTAGCTAAATTTGGATAATTACTAATTTTAGTCTTAAAGATATAGATTACTGGCTACTTTCAACAGTATACAGTATAAAGTGCAAAATCCGGATGTCCAATATCCAGAATGATCTAAATTCTGGACCTCTTGATAACCAATAACTTTTAAAAATTTTATTTTTTTAAATTTGTTCCTATTCTTTATGCTGTTTTCATAATAAAACATTTGGAGAATACTGATTCTTAATTTCACTTTGCCACTAAACAAAATACCTCCTTATTGAAGGAACAATAATTTATTAGCAAAAATATGTATAATCAATAATTTGGCCTTGCTGCCACCTTTTTGCTTCGGACATATCTCAAACTGAAGCATTCCACATCGAAACATCATTGATTTTACACCTATCAAATAATTTATACCCGATGACAACCTAGCAATTATATATTATTTTTTGCTTTCATCATAGGTGATTATGAACATACTTGAGAAATGACTCACCCAGCGATATCTAAACTTTTTTTTAAATATTAGTAACTGAATACCAAACAGCATGGTAACCGTTTTATGCTGACATATGCTTGGCATGATTACAGACTTCAGCTAACTCTGCTGTGAAGTGTTGAGTGTGCTGACACACAGAAATTTCTTTCCATATGCAAAAAATAAATTTTGTAAATGTTACTCATATGCCAGAAGAATACATTTAGTAACAAATTTAGTGAGTGACAAATTTAGGAGAGGCAAAATTTTTAGAATTTAGGGAGGGACTTTTTTTTTTTTTTCCTTTGAGAACATACAGACTCCCCGTGCACCACATATGTACAACACAGGGCTTACAGAAGTAAGTTAACTAAAACATTAAAGGTTACATGTATAAATAAACATTAAAAATTACATGCATAAATAAAGCGAACAAAAGCAGAGAACAGCAGTCTGGACTTCACGAAAACAGATAAGTTCACTGGCCAAGTCGCTCCGAACATTTTCAAATCGTTCTGTAAGCATAATCTAGGACCATCAAACGTAGGGCACGAGAAAATCAAATGTTCCACATCCTGAGGAACTCTTTTTGAACATTCACATAAATTGTTTGATCGTAGATTAAAACGAAACAGATAACTTGCAAATTTACCGTGACCAGATAAAAACTGAGACACTTTAAAATTTAACGAGAGGAAAGACTCGGAATTCAGTCTATGGTAAATAGAAGGAAGGAACTTTTTTGTGACTTCAGCATTACAAGATGAAATGTATTCCTCATTCCACATAGCTAAAAGCTTTTTATAATGAAAGGACTTCCAATAACTCTTTGGAATGCTAATGTTGATATCAATGGGTAAATTTAAGGCATCTTTAGCTAAGAAATCAGCTCTTTCATTTCCGTAGAAACCATGATGAGCACGCACATAAGCAAAGCAGATATCAATACCTCTAATTCTAAGTGAACTAACAGTTACTAGGGTTTCGATAACTAATTTATTGCAACTGGTAATACTGTTCAAAAGTTGAAGAGAAGAAAGAGAATCAGAACAAATAAGGTACTTTGAGGATGTTGTCCCATTATCCTGGATCCATTTGACAGCAAGATAAATGCACAGAAGTTCTGCTTGAAAAACTGTGCATTCATTCCGTATACGGTGTCTAAAAATACAAACCTTGGAATGGCCTTCAAAAAGAACAAATTAGGGATGGACTTGACAGCAGAATTTACAATTCATAGTTACCATGTAATATTCTCTAATATCAATAGTTTAATACAGCTTACTAAGGCTTGTCTATTTGGACAATTATCAGAATTTCATAGCCACAGGGACTGCAATGGGTCGAAAAATGTCTAGAACTGGCCTTGGATAAGCCTTAAATATATGTCAGAATTTATTTATTTCGAAATCATAAGCCTTCAGTATGTGAGGGAAATAGGCAAAATATAATAACAGCTAAATTACCTTACGTCATTTAAATTTTGAGCATTGTTTGAGATGTCAAAGCTACAGTTATCACGTGTCGAATTTGTAAATAAAACTGTAAAAATAAACTGTTTATGTTGTCACAAGATAGTTCATTGAATAATTAATTACAGTCATTTCCATCACTATTCTTCTGATACTCGAAGGCAAAACCGAATACAGCTACTTAAATAACTTATATTGAAAAAAATATTTAATAAAACAAATAAATAAATATTGAGCCTTTTTTAAGAAAAATTTTGATTTCTTTAAGATCATAAATGCTTTATTATTTCATAAATCAATACTTCATCTTTTTTATTTTATAATTTCTGTATACAACTTTACTAGATTTAAGTTGATGATCTAATAAGCAGAGAAATCCGAAAACCCAGAATCACTGAATTCCTAATGAATCCTGATCTTGAACTTTGTGCTGTATTGCTGAACTACAAAACTATCAGAAATAGTTAACTGTACTTATGTAATTAACAACTTAAACTCAGCAAATTTTAATCTTAACACATATCCAAATAAGTATTACATCACTAAATAACTTACAGAATGTTACTAAAAATAAAGGTTAGTAGACTTACTTCATCTTTCTTTTCAAGCATTTCATAATAAATCTTTTCTTTATCTGATGAATGAGAATCTAATAATGCATCAAGCTGCTCTAACAAAATATCTAATTTTGTTATTTTTGTTATATCTGTTTCTGTACCATTAACATTGGACCAAGCTCCAATAACTTCTTCTCTGTAAAAAATAACAATAATTGCAATTAAAAAATATAAATCAACACTGTGATAAAAGAATTCAAATATACATATTTAAAAAACAATATAATTTCTTCTTATTTGCATTATATAATGATTCAATAAGTAATAGAATTTTTTTCTCTACAACTCTTATCAGATGATAACATGATGCTCGAAGTTTAGTGCTTCAAAAAAGGGAATAAATTATTTTTTTATTAAATGCTGACAGAAAAAAGTGATGAAAAATTAATTTTGATAGAAAATGTCAAATAAATTTGAAGCTTCATTTGATTTTTTGGTTATTTATGGATTCAATTCAGATGTGGCTTACTAAATGAATGGATTAAACAGTGAACAATTTTAGTTTAGGGATGAAACATTCAAATCTCACAAATCTGGAGAAAAAAAATTTCAAGGTTAAAAAACTTGCATCTTGATATACTTTTTTGGCATTCCAGATCTCTTGAAGCTAAATAAAATGTTAAATGTTTGGGGGAAATCTGATTTCATTGAAGACAGATAGAACCATTTGTTGCAATAGATTGATAAATAAACAAAGAAATAAAATAAAAGGAGAAAAATTGTAAAAAAAGAAAAAAGGAAAAGAATGCAAAATTTATCTCTTAATATTTTATAATCTCTTAACAATTTAAAATCTCTTAATATCACTGCCCTCCGTTGTAAACTTACAAAGATTATTCAGCACATCTAATATTAAAATTAATTTTAAAAAAATGCAGTTGGCTGGACCCAGAATGAGTTTAAATCCTAGTTTTCTTAATAATAAAGGTTCTGCCTTTTTTTTTTTTTTTTTTTTTTTTTTTTTTTTTTAAAGGGTGGAGACACTGCTGCAAAAGCATTCACACTTTTTATGCACACTTACACACTTCAGTTTTTGATTTTCTTAATTTTTTGAAGAAAATTTAGCATTTCACATTTAAGGTTTACCTGTCAAAGTTCTCCTGATAAGCCTTCCCCTCTATACTTGCTTTAATTTGACTCTCTGAAAGGCACAGCTTTTTGGATATGTATATGAAGACATGTATTTAAACAGTATTAGCTAAATTTCTATGATAATTTATTTCAGTCTCTGCATTCATAAATTTCCATTCATTAAGATGATATTTACATTATTAAAAAAAATCAGAAAGTAAAATACTTTAAATTATAATCTATTATATACCAAGTGACAAAAAACTGCACAACCGGGTAAAGGCGGTCATGCCACTTGGTTAAAATATTTCAAGAAAAAATTAGAGAACAAAATTCAATTACTACTCAAAATATATTTTTTCAAATTATGTCAAGAAAACAACAGCTTCAAGTGTTTTAATTATGCAGCCTATTAAATAAATTTTCAAGATTGAAGTGTTTTAATTATGCACTTTATTAATTAAATTTCTTTTAGATCTTGTTAATAAATACATCATATTTTAAAAACTCTATTCTTAAATTCATTTTTCATAAAACATAAATTTTAAATCTTGCTTTAGTTAAAAACTTACAACAATAAGTTAACATTCCTTTTCTTTACTTTTTATCCCCCTATCCTTCTTCTTACTTTTATTTGAAAGATCTGTTAAGCTTTCAGGATTTAGATTTAAAATCATTTAGCATTCACTCACTTCTATTTTATTCACTTACAGAGTTCATGAAATAAATATTAAATTTAATTATGTATAATTTTTACCTGTCTAAACAAAACAACATGAATAGCTTCTTTTTAACCTTTACTATTGTGAAGAAGGGGGACTTATTTATGGCATGCATTTTTAAGCAATACAAAAAATGAAACGGTACAAGAATTTCATACGAAATACAGTTTTATTAATTAAATTTGCTTATAACTGATGAGATGTTATTCCTCATAAAAATAATAAAAATAAAAAATATTTTGATATTAAGTATATTGAAAAAAAATAAATGGTTTATTACAGTTTAAATTTTTTCAGAATATCTTTCATTAATATTTTACAGAAATTTACACTTCATTAATATTTTTAAAAAATGCTATCATATATAACTCAGAGCATTAGATTGCATATTTAGATTTAAAAAAACATATTTTAACATAAAAAACATTATTATTTTGTGTGGTGTAATTCATAGGAAGCTTTAATATGATCTGTATGCTACAAGAAATAGAACCAAGAATGAACAAAAATATTAATATAAACTTCTACTATAATGCACATGAAAAAAATGACCGAGACTCGGAATCGTAAATAAAAAAAAAGGCAACAAGAAAAATATGCCAAGATAAAAATTAACCACATTCAAATATAATAATGACAATATTATTATTATTGAAACTAGTACTGTTGCACTTAGATGTCAAGGAAATGAGATCAGTGCACCACATTATCAAAAAAAAAAAAAAAAAAAAAAAAAAAAAAAAAAAAAAAAATCAATCAGTAAAATTCTGATAAGTCATACCACTCCCTATTATTTATTTTTTTCTGATAACACCTATCACTAACTTAAATATATATTGCTTTATCATCAATGACAGATAGTTTTCACAAAATAGCATTAGATTATTTTTAGTAAGACAATTTCAAGCTGATATTATTTCTGATTTATCCATAGGATATTTATAATTAATGCAACAAACCTTGCCAAAAGAATTATAAAAGCATTTAATAAAAAAAGACTTACTGTAGTAAAAATTTTAAAGATAGCTTTAATTTTTACTTTCACCCTGCTTTATAATATGAATCTTAAAATTGAATCAACTCCTGTGTTATATGCCCATCTGTTAACTATTCTCCCATAGCACTTTCAACAATTTTTAAAATGTTGAATGGTGTCAAGCTCATAAGAAGCCATTTCAAATAAATTTAGGCTATTAATTTGTCTATGAGAAATTAAAAAAAAAAAATAACTAATACAGTTAAAAATAGATACAGTTAAAGCTCAATTATGCAGAAAGCTCAGCGCTGACCAGCAACCAAACACTGGTAGTTCGATCCTGGGTTCGAATCCAAGAAAACGGGCTGGCTGCATGGGTGTTTTCATGGTTTTTCTTCACGTGTAACATATGCATGAGCCAATTTCCCTTAGAATGTGCTCTATGAAGGCAAATTTTGTCTTAGATAGCCCTTGAGTGCTTTACCATAATCAAAATAAACCAAACTGGAAAGCTCATGCTGAAATGTGAAAATTTTGGATAGCTGAGAGCATAAAAATGAATGGAAACAGTGGAATTAGAAACTGCAGTACTTATTTTTTAAGCGTAACTTTCTTTGGGAATATGTAGTAATGATGACATAAAATTCTTTAGTATTGCCCCAGAATTCTGCTTATTCAGAAGATAAAAAGAGAAAAAGTTTTTATGGATTATTCCCAACATAAACACTTCAGCATTTACAGTTATTTTCTTATGTTAAGATCAAGTAAATCCTTATGTTTTGATTTAAGACTATTTTCTTTAACAAAACACTTCATTAGCTTCATAAATAATTTTAATAACTATCCCAAACACAGAACTTGTTGGTATTTATATTTAACTGTTTAACTATTTTTATATTTAACATTTCCTGAGATGCAATGGTTAAGGTCATTTTTTTTTTATTAGCTTCTTTTGCCCATCTGTCAGAGCACTGTTTTAGCCTTTTTATACAAGTTATGCAAAACCGTGACTTTAAAAGAGTGGACAAGGAAAATACCAAGCTCAGAATTTTTTTATGAAATTTCCTAAGAAAGTTTTTTTATTATTTGTTGCTTCTCTTGCAGTGAAGGAGAAGCAGAAACTTATCTATTCTGATTTAAATCTGAGGGTAGCTCAAACTTAGTTTCTAATTTGAGGCTGCAATGCTGATGACATATAAGCACATTCTGATGAAAATACGAATTTAACAAAACTATTATATATTTTGAATTTAGGTGACCGCTTTTGAACTTTAAACTATATTTTCTTCTTAAGCTTAACACTTTAGCTAAATAACAAATTTAGTTTTAATATTTTTAATGTATTAAAAATTGTTCCAGCTTATCTTCTCCCTTATTTCAAAGCCAGTCAGTTTTCTAAAGAAAGTAACACATAACTTTTCTTCATTTATTTTCCTTACATACAATATTCGCTCATCAAGTTCTGCCCTATATAAGGAACTTAAGAACTTAAAATCTTGCTAATGGCAGAGATTTCTGAAATTATCATTAAACCAGCTATTGAATGTTTTGGTTCTTTCCGGCTGCCTACACTGCCAGAAAAAGTCATTAACTGACTGATGACTTTGTGAAATAGCAGGAAAAACATTTATTTGGCTATATGGCTCGGGGTACTATTATATTCATAAAGAAGGAAAAGAGAAGCATTGTTTATGCAAGGAAGACAAGAATTTATACAGCTACATTTTTACAGCACTTGAATACTATTCAGTACAATGATGGTTAAATATAAAGCATATAAATTCCAGTGCACTTAAACATATATATGGTACAAATATGCATAGGTCAGTTATTACTCCACATACATTAAAAAATAAGCCAAATACTAAGCAGTTCTACTGAATGTTGAAATCATGGATACAGATAATCGGAAACGATAAAATTTTTTTTATTTGTCATGAGAAAGGGATTACTGGATTCAGAAATGTATATATGTATGCACATAGGTATGTATGTATGTGCATATATGTATGTGTATACACACACACACATGTATGCACATATGTACGTATGTGTATGTGCATATATGTATGTGTATACACACACACATACATACATGTATGCATGCATACATAAACACATTCATCCACACATACACCACATTTCTGGACCCAGCCCCCGATAACAGAACAGTACCAATCATTCTGCTATAAAATTACATGAATTTTACACAAGTCTATTTTCAAATTATCGGAGAAAGTGCAGAATCGCCCACTGCTTGACACGTTTTTAAGAATCGCACATACTAGGTATCCATGTACACATCAACCTATTTTCACTTAAAAAAACATCCCAGAATTGTACAAAATGGCACTGTGCACTCCCTTGACTTTATCCACGTACACACTGACCTATTTTCACTTTAAAAGTCCCAGAAAATTGACAAAAATTCAATTCTCCTTACTCTTGTAAAAAGTGCCAAACAAACACCAAACAAATAAGTGGGCGATTCTGCACTTTACCCAAATTATCTTTTTGTATTAATAAAATTTGCAGCTTGATTTTCTTACATTCTATTTCAAATAAGAATTTTTAAGTAATTCCTTAATAGTTTAATTTATAAATTAAAATATAAAGTTTAATTTCTGTTTTCCCCTTACCTCAGTGAATTGTGGCAGTATTTACTATATTTGTCAGTATATAAGACACACTGGCCTATAAAATGCACCCACCTTTTTTATACACATTTCTGAAGGATAAAACTTTATTACTGAATTTACAGTATTTTAAATATAAAGTAATACCCTCTGCAAATACTCAATATATCTGAGAAAGGACAACTTTTAATCTTCTTCGTTAAAACCCAGACACTCATCTCCAGAGATAAGTGAAGAGTCACTTGATACCTCTTCTAAATCAGCATCCGAGTCCTCACATAACAAACTGTCTTCTGTACCATCCAGTGCTTTATTAATGCCACACTTCTTAAATGATTTAACCACTGTCTCTGTTTTCCTAACATCCCATGAAGCTTTGACCCATTCACAAACTTGAGACATGCTAACTCCGAATAAACCGAGTATCGACGTATAAGACGCACCCTATTTTTCAGACCTATTTTCAAAGAAAAAAAAAGTGCGTCTCGTAATGCCAATATAAAAGGTAACCCTACTCCTTTATTATTCAGTCGCTAACATAAAAAAATTGCTTAGGCATCGCTACATGAGTCATTACTCAAGTTGTCATGTTTTGATAAACATGCAGTGTTGAAAGGAAAGTATCATAAATAATGATTCACCAGGTTGTCGTCACATCAACGATGTATCTATGTGGAATAATTCAGTTTGAGATGTGTGCCAAGCAGATATGCAGCAATGGAGCCAAATTACTGATCATACAAATATATGCTAAAATGATTATTTCTTCAATAACAAGGTATTTTATTTAGTATAGAAGTGAAATTAAGAATCGGTATTCTCCAGATGTTTTATTGTGCAGGGATGAGGGGAATCAAATGAGCGTGCATAAAGCCTAAGAGAAAAACATTGATGGTGGTTTTTAGGTCCGGATTTTAGATCATTCGAGATAATTGGACGTCCGGATTTCGGACTTTGTACTGTATTTACTGCATTAATTTATGCCCCCAATGTATTTTAAAAATTACCTTAACTGTAATTACTGTGATGGCAATTTCAACTACAGTCAAAAGTCGTTAATCCGTACTCGTCGAGACTTCGGCGATTCTAGATTATCGATTTTTCCGGATTATAGATCATCAGTTTAAATCTGGTAAGATGGCATGCAGAAATTATAGAATTAAAAATATGAAACTGTAATTTATGAAATAAAGAACAATTATGATCTAAAGGGTATCAAAATTTACAAAAAAAAAAAAAAAAAAGCTTAATATTTATTTGTTTACTTTACTAAACATTTTTTTCAATGTAAGTTGTTTAAGTTGCTTCATTTTTTATGTGATAATACATTCTCTTTAATTCTATAAACAGACATAATTTCTTGTTCAGTTACAAGTTCCGCTGTTCAAGTCCTATAGTTGCTGTGTCGAGAATACTGACTAATTTGTCAATCGAAATTTTTTCGTTTTCAATAACCTCTGTCACTTTCTTCGCTATCGGAAGCGAATTATAATGACGAGGAATTTGATTTAAATCATATCAAAGACGGAGTATATCGAGATCAAATACTACATTTAGTAAGGAATTATAAGCCGAATAAAATAAAAACATCTGCCCTGAAGATAAGGATAGTGCTGACAGATCAACTTCCAGTTCATTGCGTGTCGCGACGTCCCCCCCCTCCACAGAGCAGCGTAAAATTGATAAACATATTTTGGAATGGTTAGAGAAACAAAGGATTATGCCTTTATCCATTTTTTGCAGCAATTCTACTTTTTGTTTAATGGACTCGAAACATACTTTCACTTTGTAGATCCTTTACATATTAGTAAATATATATCAGAAATTCTATTTGACATAATCGAAAGTTCAAGCTTACTTTTATAAAATTGCTCTAACACTGTGCAAAAAATAATAAGCCGGATCCAATTCGAACGACGCAATCTGCAACATTAACTGAATTAGATAATTTTAGCTTAGCTTATACCGTCCATTATACATTAAACGCGCATGCGTAAACATATTATGCGCATGCGCACACGCATATTCGCAGCCGTAAAGGTCTTACGCGCATGCGTCAATGCGACACATGCACGGAAAGTTTGTAGCTTTGAGGTCCAGATTATGGGTGTCCGAATTAACGACTTTTGACTGTACTACTCTTTTTCAACAATGAGAACAGAGATTACAAAGATGTAATAAGCCATTATCAAGATGAAAAGGATAAAGTTAAAGAGACTATAAATAAGTAAATTTCACCCAAGTTAACAAAGTAATGCTGATCCATCTAATTGCAATATACATATACAGTATATAGGTACAATTATCACAAATCTATGAAGTAAATTAGGTTAAATACATTGATTCAGATAAAACATACAAAGGTTATCCCTGCGTAAGTGTATGGATACCTCGAAGGAGTTATTTCTAACGGAGATAGGCTCAAAATCACATTGCATACAGGAAAAATCACAAAACCGAAATCCAGATAGTATGTCACTAGTAACTTACTGCTACCACCTAGATACATTGATGGTAAATTGTATATCTAATGATAACATGAAAGATTTTTGTCTTTAATCAATTATGTAATAAAATATTTACTAATCACATAATAAAATTTTGCAGCTTGAAATAAAAATAAAATTTCGGTTAATCTTTGAATTATGGTAACTTGGCGATTTTTTGGCGACCAACCCTGCTACAGCAACCTGCGCATTTTTGATTGGACGCCATTTTGTTTTCACAAAGTAAAGGCATGGTTTTTTATTTTTTTTTTTACTTAACATTTTTTTCAACAATCTGTTAGCTGAAGTACACCTATGCTAGAACTTTTATGGAACAAAAGTGTTTAATCATGACGAATATTAGGTGCGAAATTGGGAGAAAGTGCAGAATCGCAAACTGCTTGCCGCGTTTTTAAGAATTGCACATACACGGTATCCATGTACACGTCGACCTATTTTCACTTAAAAAAACATCCTAAAATTGCACAAAAATGGCATTGCGCACACTCTTGACTTTACCTATGTACACTGCTAAAGTCCTAGCTAGTAACCTTTATCGCCTTACCAAAATCTCGCCAAACTACCTGTTACCATATTCCAAAGATTAGCCAAAATTTCATTAATTGCAACTAGAATGGAAAAGGGTTTAATCCTAGTATCCGGTGCACAAGGGATTTGGCTACTTTTGGTGACTTTATGATGAGCAGTAAACGGGACATATACGATGAGTAGTTAAATGGGTCATTTTGGTGTTGGCGATAATTTTCAAAATTGCGCCAAGGCTGCACCGTATACTAGGATTTTACCTGAAAAAGAAAAAAACTTTGAAAAAAAAAATTTTTTTTTATGGAAAACTCTTCAAACTAACTATGAAAATCAAAATGTTAACTCTAGGATTAATTTCTTAGGAGAAACAAAAGGTTAAGGGCTAGAATTAGCACTACTTATGTATTTCCAGATCCACAGCATTGGCTTCATTCTCAACAAGGGAAAACAAAACAGGTTTTAAATTTGAAAATAAATACAAAGTAAAATTTTGAAAATAGCATTTTATAACATGCATTTACCGGGTTCTCTGCGGAAGTGCTTCCCATGTTTAAATGTTGTATCTTAAAACTGTTAGAAAGAAAGGATATTATAGTTAAATGCAAAGCCCTATGCTTTCTTTGCAATTTCTGAATTCATTTAAAGTATCTATATTCACAAATTCTCTCAGCATATGGAAAATTTTTGGAAACTGAACACTCATATCTACACTCAGATCAGAGTGAAACTAGTCCATAACTCGTCTCTATAACTATACTCATAATAGAAACATATGATCAGGGTGATTATTCCGCTACTAGTTGTGATAAAAAAAAAGAGGTTTTCACAATAACTCTTATACTCAATCTAACTAATCTTTTCCAATAGAATAAGAAATTGAACGTCAAGATCCTTTTTCTAGATCAATACGACAGGTATTTACTAAGATAATAGTTTCAAAATGTAAAATAATATTTTTTAGTTAATAAACTTACGTATCAGTAAAATCAAAATATTCTTCATCTGCATCTTCAAGACTGCTAGTATAGCTATAAAATTTAGTTCCAGGAGCTGATGAACTAACATTTCCTTTCTGAACAGAAGAATTAATAGCTTTCTCTTTATTAAAAGTGGCAGTTGATTTTAATTCTTCTATCTCTCGCCTTAGACTGTCGATGGTTCCAGATAAGTGATTTAGTTCTCTAGTTACACATTTATTAACTTTGTAATATAAATATATCCCACTAATTCCAACAACAACACCAGCTCCTAATGCAGCTATGAGACTCAATCGATCTCGTAATATCGCATCCATGGTTAATTAAACGTTTAAATTCTGCTCGCAATCATACTTCCCTTCGCGTATACATCCTCGTAGCAGACACAGGAAAACAGACAGACAGACAGACAGACAAAGTAGACAGATGTCTTGTTTTGCACCCGCTAAGTCTTTCTGCGCCGATGGGCGAAAAATCAAGCATAGGTGCGAAGGAAAGGTATATAGAAAGGGGGCAATTTCGTATTTGAGGAGAGTAAAAAGGGAACTTCGTACATCTTGCACGAGTTCAAAAGGTCAGGAAGAAAAGATGGGACAAAAAAAAATTTAAAATAAATGGCCCAAAAATAATAGAGAGGGAAAAAAAAAAAAAAAAGAAAAGGGCCTATAGAAAGAAAAGAAGTAGACAGACGGCTGCTGACATTTTAAAACTTGGTTCCAGTTAGTAAAGGGTTATACATCATATAAAAAATTTAGATTAACAATCAACTGTACTTTATTGTCCTTAATTATATCGTTAATTAAACTTTATAAACATTTCTTAAATACTTACATTTTAAGTTACATATACTACTTCGTTTTATGCATCACTTTAAACTCAAATCTTTAGACAAAATATGAATTTAAACTTCCTATTGAACTAAAGTTCAATTATCACAGTATGGCAACAATATTCCAGCGGTTAGTGTAAATAACAGTTTTTGCCTTTTATACCGTTTTATGAATACGAGAATTTTCAACCAGTGTTTATATTCTTTATAACATAGTCTGCACACTTGAAGAGCATTTGTGCTGAAATCTTCGGCATTCAATATCAAATTGTTCGAAAAGTGTTTACCTGATTGTTTTTAACTTACTAGTGCTTTCTGTGCTTCACTGTTTAAAAATCAACATGGAATCTGTCACGACTGTAAGAAGAAATTTTAATATATCTCCACAACAAGAGTTTATAATGCAGGGTAGTATAATGGACACTTCTTGTGAAGTATTACTTCATAGATTACGAGGCCTATGTGATAATGCTGATGAACCTCCCGAAACATTTCATGATTATGAAATGGTGTTTCAGATACGTAAGTATATATTATTTCATGTTACAAATTGCTAAAATGTTTCTTTTTTAACACCTGTGCACAAGAAAAGAAAAGTTAAGAAAATGTTTATTTTTTAATACTTGTTCTCAAAAAAGGGAAAAAAACTTTGTTTGAAAACTGTGCTGCTTATGTACGAGTAATTTTTTTTTTTTTTCAATTAAACAGTTGATTCTTTGAAGTATGATAGATTCAGTAATTTTTATGAGTATAGGTAACAAACTTTTTGGTTGATTGGAACACAGGTCACATTGCTCCTTTCTGGGCGTCAGGATAGGCAATGTAATCAGTTTCCCAGTGAACTGAGAAATACTGAATCTGCAGGATGTAAGTGATAATTTTAGTAAACTTGAAGAACTTCAAAAAACAATAAAAACCTTAGTAAACTTGTTTGTGTTTGACTGTGCAAAGTATAAAGTGTTAGTTATGGTTATAAGTTTTTCTATTTGTAGATTGGAGATGTTAACTGACGCATGTAGCTATCAACAAGTGACTGAACTTTCCCATTGTATGCAATCCCATTGGGCTCATTAAGGACAGAATATTTCTGTAGCATCTTTTATATTTAACCCTGGAATGAAGGAGCCGGCACACAGAGTATGCCAATCCCATCTTTTGGGCTGTAATTTTTAGACAACCCCCTTCCTGAGCTTCCTTTCTTCCTCTACCCTCCCAGAAACATTTCATGAGTGCAACACATCTGGTATTTCTGGTCAGTCTGGTTTTCACCTTCCCTCCAAAAGCAATTATTGCGAGCATGTCGAGTAGGCGAACGCAGTACGCCTCTCCTCCAAGTATGTACAGAAAGAATATTTTACCTTCTGAAGATCATTTGCGCATTTTAGAAGTCTCAACTGATGAGGACTCTGACAATTTGGATAACCCATGTGATGTTGATGAATCGGAAGTCATTGAACATTCTGATCATGAAAGTGACACAGAAATCGAGGGAAATAATTTTAAACATCCTCATTTTCCTTCCTCAAATGATGTTTCCCCAACAAATGACGATTTCAGCGATGCTGAAAATGACATAAAAGCAATTTAAAAAAAAATAGTTGTAGGAAAGATTCTGAAAGAAGAAAAGGAAACTTTTAAGTGGAATAAAATTCCCCTCGGGAGCAAATTTGCCGGAATGCCTCGAAAAAATTTGATGAAAAAAATATTCCTAAGTGCCAAAACATGTCATGATATAAAATGATGAGCTTTCTACTTTCCCGAAAATGGCTAGCCAATATTTGATGGTGCCCTCGCCAAGTTGTTGTTTCATTTATGGTAACCTGAGTAGTTGAATGTTATGAAAACCCTATTATGACGTAATTGGTTGCATGAATTTGACTGATGGGAAAAGATTTGTAAGGGCTTGTTTGTGTGTTGGATGTTGGTTAGGAAATTGCTTATTTTGTGGTTTACACTATAAAACGGCTGAATGTGGCAAGATTAATTTGAAATTTCGGTACATCTCTGATATATGCCCTAATTTCACCAAATGTGCCGATATGTGTTCTGTGCTGGTTTTTGGCGCAATTGCGTGTTGTATGGCAACTGTTTGAGACGGCTGCTGCAGACAGACGATTACGTAACGGCTCGGTGGAGGTCGGCAGAAGTAGCGCTGCATCTGATTGAACTATTTTTTATTATTCTTATTTTTTCCTTTAACTGCGAGCTAAGTGGGGAAATTCCCTTTTCACTCGGTTATGTTTGCACTTGATAGAGTAATGTAATGCTTTCAGCTTGTGTGAGATATCCATATTAAATCTTTATATTAATAATCCCTGCTGTGATTATTTAATTTGTAACCTGCACGTTGTAGCCTTGAGAGTTGCAACAGCAACCCTGTTGACGTTAAAATATCTTTTGCTGGATCTCGTTGGTTCACGTCATGCTCTGTGTCTGAGAGGATAGGGGGAAAAAATGAAATGGTGGAAGTTGTTGAATTGAAGTTCGGCAAATATCATGGCCATCCTGTTGTGGGGCAGCATCGCTATCTGTCATGCTGATGAAATTGCCAAGCAATTCCATTCTGTCTTGTCCTCGGTCTTCAGTTAGAAATGTGAGAGACAGACCTGACACAAATTAATTAATTGCATTGAAGGGAGGGAATCAGTTGAGCATGTGTAAAGCCTAAGAGAAAAACATTGTTGCTAGTTTTGAGGTTCGGATTTTAGATCATTCCGAATATTGGACATCCGGATTTTGGATTCCTCAAATCTGTATTTTGTATATTATAAGAACAGCATAAAGTAAACATGCAATTGTGTAATTTTGCTTTTTATTTAAGAGCTCTTAATTTATTTATCTGTTCTATCAAGTTATTTATTCAAGCCTGTCTTATATAACTAAGTTATGTACTATATAATCAAGTTATGTCTTATTTAATCGATTACTTATTAGTACTGATCGTACAGTAGTGGAGCCAAATTAATGATCGTACAAATTTATGCTAAAATGATTATTTCTTCAATAACAAGGTTCGAAGAAGCATAAATAAGGCAACTAAAAGGCTGTGAGTATAAAGGAACCTAGTCAAGGAACTGCCTCATATAGAAAGATAGTGACTTATGTACTGGGCTCGCCATCAGTATGTTCTTCTGACCCTAGTCCCCTGTGTATAAATGCAGTTCACACAACTGAAAAGGGTGTCTGCTGATGCAGGTGATCTGCTTTAAAATTTTCTTATGAGTATACACTTCAGTGATTAGAAACAAGTAATTCTGGGCTAAGTATTACGTATGAGTAAACAAGAATAAAACAGTAATAATATATGAAAGTGCATATATATTTTGTTTATGTGAGTATCGTTTGCTTCATTTTATTGTTGCAAACAGCGTAAATTCCTTTTGCTTTTCTTCCTTTAGTTTTGAACTTTATGTGTGGCAACAAGATAATTGATTGATAGAATTGTGTTTGTGACAGCCATGTAGAATGGCTCGCTTATTTTGTATCAATTATTTCGCATCGCTGACAAGTGTAATTTAATAAAAGTGTAGGAATACAGTCCATTTGTTGATTGATTATAGTTTGTGAAACATATTAATTTAATAGAATACATATTGTTGGTCCGTCGAGCCGGAGAGCTAGTGAAGATAGTGACTGTTCTAAGTGTATTCTAACAACGCAAATATGCAGATGGTTTGTGAAAATTATTATGGTAAGTGGATTTTGAACAAAAATTTGTTTAATTTGTTGTTAAATTTTAAGAACAATGTTGTAATACAATATAGAATTCGATTTATAACTTATAACTTTTAAAACAAAAAGAGCGGTCTTACGCAGGAGTGTTACTAATTATGTAAAGAAAATTGAAACTATTTTAACTGCAGATGAAATTAATTTAATAGAACTAGAGGAATGTGTCGAATTATTGAAACAAAAAGAAACTGAGTTAAGGAAGCTTGATTCTGAAATCGAAAGTTTAATTACAGATACTAAAGAATTAGAAAACGAAATAGATAATGTTCAGGAGTACACAGATAAAATTTATTTGTGGAAATTTAAAGGTGAAAAAATATTAAAAAATCAAAATAATAAAAAAAATTCTAATGGTGTAATTTCAGAACAGGTTCTTGACAATATTAAATTACCCAAGTTAACATTACCGACTTTTGGTGGTAATATTACAGAATGGATAGCTTTTAAAGATCTTTTCAATGCTTGTGTAAGAAATAATACAAATTTATCTAATGCTCAAAAATTGCAGTATTTGAAGGCTTCGTTGAAAGGTGAAGCATATCGCATTATTCAAACCATTCAAATTTCGGATTGTAATTTTGAAATAGCATGGAATCTGTTAGACGAAAGATATTCAAATAAGAGAGAACAAATTTTTGCATATATTAAACGTTTTTTAAGTTTTTTTTTAAGTTTACCAACTATTCAAAATGAATCAGCATTTGCTATTTTAAATTTAGTTGACAATATTAATGAAATAATTCGTTCTTTAGAAGTATTGAATCAAACCATTGATAATTTTGGTGACACTTTAATGACTTATTTAATTTTGCAAAAATTAGACCCTTCTACAAAATTATGGTGGGAACGTCAGTTAAAATCTAATGAAATTCCAAAACTTACGACTTTAATTGAATTCCTAAAAAACTATGCAAGAACACTTCAAAATAGCAAATCAAGCAAGTAATAAGGTACCTAAATCTGTGTTTCAAAATAAGAATAATGTTCTGGTTGCTACTTTGGGTTGTGGTTATTGTAAAGAAGATCATAGTTTAGCCAAATGTTCGAAATTTCTAAATTTATCGGTTCAGCAAAGGATAGAATTTTGTAAAATCTAATCGTTACTGTTTTAATTGTTTATCTAATATGCACTTGCTCAAAAAATGCAAGAGTTTAAATACATGTCAACATTGCTTTAAGAAGCATCACAGTATTTTGCACATTGTAAATAATTCAAAGAAATAAAACTCAGTTAAACAGTATATCTCCGCCTACACAATCTATCATTAAAAGAGATGAATTAACGAGTCCTAAGGACGTTTCAGCCACAGTTTGTGCCTCTCATTATGATTCGAATGCAAAAGGTAATCAAACCAGTCACATTTTATTGTGTACTGCTTTAATAAAAGTTCAAAATTCTAAGCAACAATTTGTGAAGTGTAGATGTTTATGTGACACTGGATCTCAGAGATCATTTATTTCAAGGGATTGTGTGAAGAAATTAGGATTACGAGTGAAAGATAATTCCATTTCTGTATCATGTTTAGGAGAATTTAATACTATAAGTAATGGGGAAGTCGATTTAGTATTCACTTCTCATTTTAAAAGTGATATTCGTGTATCAACATCAGCGTTTGTACTGGACAAGGTGACAGATAACATTCCCTATGTATCTTTGCCATCAATCATCTTCGATAACTTCAGTGATTTACAATTAGCTGATCCATTATTTTACAAGTCACAACCAGTTGACATTTTATTTGGAGTAAATGTATTTCTGCATTTAATGACGGGAGAAATTGTCAAACGTGGTCCTGATCTACCATTTGCTCTAAATTCGAGGTTGGGATGGATAATTTCGGGTACTACAAATTTTGAATCTACAAATTTTGAGCCAGTATATGTAAATCATTTGAATACAAACACAGATGAGTTAGTAAATTCTTTCTGGGAGTTAGAAAAGTTTCCAAATGTACAACCTTTAACAAATGAAGAAAAACTTTGTGAAGAACATTTTAAAAACTCGCATTTTAGAGACACATCAGGTCGTTATTCAGTTGCATTACCATTCAAACATAATAGAGATATTCTAGGTGACTCCCGTGAAGTGGCGTACAGAAGATTTCAATACTTGGAGAAGAGGCTGTTATCTATGAAAGAAATTTACAACCAGTATATTCAGTTTATGAAAGAGTACTTTTCACTAGAACACGTAGAATTAGTGCCAGACACAGATTATGAATTAGAGAATAAACACTATTATATCCCACATCACTTCGTGTTGAAGGACTCTAGCTTAACAACAAAATTGAGAGTTGTTTTCGATGCGAGCGCTAAAACAAACCACAGGTGTTTCTTTAAATGATACACTAATGATAGGCCCAAAAATACAAGATGACTTAATTTGTATTTTACTAAGATTTAGACTTCATAACATTGCAATAACCGCTGATATTAAAATGATGTACAGACAGATAAAGGTTCATGAAAAAGATAGAGATTTTCAGAGAATATTATGGAGAGATAGCCCATATAAGCAAATACAAGTTTGTCGTTTGAAAACAGTTACATATGGAACTGCAGCTGCTCCATATCTTGCAACCAAAATTTTGAGTCAGTTAGCGATTGATGAAGGATTGAACTTTCCAAAGGCAAAGAATATAGTTTTAAGAGATTTTTATGTTGATGATATGTTAACTGGTGTAAAAGATAGTTCGGAAGGTATTGCATTGATAGACGAATTGCAACATCTGCTAAAAAGTGGTGGCTTTGAGCTTCACAAATGGTCGACAAGTGAACCGTCATTGTTAAAAACCTCTGGCTTAACAAACACAGATAGTGACAATATTCATCGTGTAATAGAAGACAAACCATTGAAAGTTCTGGGATTGGAATGGCATCCGGACAATGATGAATTCAAATGTAATGTCGGTGTAATAGAGTATCAAAGTGTTCCGACTAAAAGAATTATTTTGTCATTCGTAGCAAAACTATTCGATCCATTGGGGTGGATAGCTCCGTTTGTAATTCTCGCTAAAATGATCCTTCAGCAATTGTGGAAATTACAGTTATCATGGGATGATCCTGTAACAGAAGAGATTGATCGAAATTGGAGAAATCTATGTAGAGAAGTTAAACTTTTGAATTCTATAAATATACCTAGGAAAATTCTGCTACCTGATTATTTTCGATGTGAACTTCACGGATTTTGTGATGCGTCTGAAAGAGGTTATGCAGCAGTTATTTATATCAAAACTTGCAATAACTCTGACATTAATGTTAAACTCGTAACAGCTAAAACTCGTGTAGCACCATTAAAATCTATTACGATTCCAAGACTGGAATTATGTGCAGCAGTGTTATTGGCACGCTTAATTCAGTCTGTAAAAGCTGCATTAGTTATAAATTTTGATTTAGTGCAAGCTTGGAGTGATTCACAAAATCGTGTTGTCATGGCTACTAAGGTCAGATCCTAAAAAATGGCAAGTATTCGTATCCAATAGAGTTTCTGAAATACAATCCATCTTACCACCTGAGAACTGGAGTCATGTTGATGGAAAGGAAAATCCAGCTGATTGTGCTTCACGTGGATTATTTCCTGCAGAACTATTATTATCTCATCAATTGTGGTGGAATGGTCCTTCTTTGGTTAAAGTGCAGTGAGATTGCCTGTGTCTAAAAATATTCTTATAGATGAAGAGGCATTACCAGATGCACGTAAAACAGTCTCATTTGTAGTTTCTGAAACCTGTACAGGAACTTGCTATTATATCAAATATATCTTCATTTCCAAAGTTACAACGCATATTTGCTTTGGATATTAAGATTCATATCGAATTCTAAAGTAGCATATCTAGAAAGAAATACGTCTTTTTTATCTAGTAATGAAATTCGAGCTGCAACTTTCTGTATTGTCCGAATAATACAGCGATTTCACTTTTTTAAAGAAATTCAAAATGGAATTTGTTTGGAGTTGGGAAAGGACTTACCTACAAACAGCAACCTCCTTAGCTTGTGTCCAATTTTAGATGACAACAAAGTGTTACGTGTAGGAGGAAGACTGAAAAATGCGCAACTATCAGAAAATGAAAAACATCCAATCTTATTACCTTCAAAACACAATCTGACAGAAATCATAATTAGACACTTTCATGTCAAATATCTGCATGCAGCACCGGAACTTCTTCTATCTTTAATTAGACAGCAATTTTGGATCATAGCTGCTAGATCTGCTATCCGAAAAGTAGTAAAATCTTGTATCACGTGTTGCAAAACTTAGAGTTAAAACTGCAAGTCAAATAATGGCTGATCTACCGGAATCTAGAGTAACACAATCGCGACCATTTCATCGAACTGGAATAGATTTTTCTGGACCGTTCATGATTAAACATCGTGCAGGACGTGGACAAAAATCATTTAAATATTACGTATGCTTATTTGTGTGTTTTGTAATCAAGGCAGTACATCTTGAAGTGGTAGAAGATTTGTCAACAAAGGCATTTTTTTAAGTGCATTGAAACGATTTATTGCAAGAAGAGGGAAACCATTTGAGATTTATAGTGACTGCGGTACTAACTTTAAAGGTGCAGACAAAGAAATCAGAAAATGTTTTTTGCAATGTAAGCAAAATCAAGAAATTCACAAATTTTTGTCTTTAGAGGAAATGGATATTCAACCCGCCATCATCTCCCCATTTTGGTGGACTATGGGAATCGGCAGTAAAGTCAATGAAATTACATCTAAAAAGGACTGTTGGTGATACTGTGCTGACCTATCCGGAATTTCAGACCTTGATAGCGCAGGTTGAGGCTTGTCTCAACTCTAGGCCATTGTGTCCAACATCGGCTGATCCAAATGATTTAACTGCATTAACACCTGGTCATTTCCTAATAGGAACGTCTTTTACTGCCATACCTGAACCAGACCTAAATTATAGTTCCTTCAATCACATTGACAGATGGCATGTGAGACAGTTTATTTTTCAGCATTTCTGGAAAAGATGGAATCGAGAATACCTGTCTCAGCTTCAACAAAAACCTAAATGGCAAAAAAGTCAAAATAATTTAGAAGTCAATGACTTAGTCCTCATCAAAGAAGACAACCTTCCGCCTCTTAAATGGAGGTTAGGGAGAATAATTGCTGTTCATCCGGGCTCAGATCAAAGAGTCAGAGTTGCTAGTATTAAAACTGGTCATGGTGTCATAAAACGACCAGTCGTGAAATTGTGTCCTCTTCCTATTCAGACTAAAAAACTATGAACTGCTTCGCATATAATATTTTGTATTATTTTTTCTTATGTTTATCTTTATTACAGACTAAGAAGTTATGTTTATGTGAGTATCGTTTGCTTCATTTTATTGTTGCAAACAGCGTAAATTCCTTTTGCTTTTCTTCCTTTAGTTTTGAACTTTATGTGTGGCAACAAGATAATTGATTGATAGAATTGTGTTTGTGACAGCCATGTAGAATGGCTCGCTTATTTTGTATCAATTATTTCGCATCGCTGACAAGTGTAATTTAATAAAAGTGTAGGAATACAGTCCATTTGTTGATTGATTATAGTTTGTGAAACATATTAATTTAATAGAATACATATTTATATAGATATATATAGATATTCATTTATATATGAATTGTTTTTAGGTGGACCCACTGGAACACCTATGGTTGTGAAAGCAAGACAAGCCCTTGATCATCCTGAGATGCCATGGTTTGTGTTTCTTGTTTATTACTTATGCTATTTTTATTGCATTTTGTTGATTTTAATCTTTAATTATTCACTTTTCTTTAATTAAGGCATCTGAAGTACTCTGGGCAACCTGAAATCGGAGATAAAAACAGAGCTGCATTAATTCGCAGTTGTATTGATGTAGATACGTCAAGTAACATTGTACAGTTCCTTAATGAACTTGGATTTAGGTATGAATATTTTTAACATGTAATTTATTGCCACATTAAAAATGGGTTAAAAACATTATAAATTGTAAAGTTATGGAAGAAATTTTGTTTTTGAAATCTTGAAGATTATTGATTGATACATATTAAATTTTCATGTTAAAACTATTTATCTTACATTAATACTCACATTTGTGCAGATAATGCATTTTAAGACTTACTATAGGTAATAGCAAACAGCATATTAACATGATGCAGTGCAGTGTCTCTAATCCGGAATGATCTATAATGCAGAACTCAAAGCTACAAACTTTATGCGCATGCATAAACGTATAAAGCAAAAGCATGCTTCGATGTCCATCAAACAAAAAGTGGAATTGCTGCAAAAAAATGGATAAAGGCATATCTGTCTCAAAATTATGCGAGGAGTACGACATTGGAAAGTCAAGTGTATATGACATAAGCAAAACGAAAAGGGAACTTTTTTGAATATTTTGTGGATTCCGACACCCCACTTGCAATGACTAACAGAAAAAGGGTTTGTTATGCTAAATGTGACGATCATGACAAAGTGATGAATTTTTAGTAAAGTAAACAAATAAATATTAAGCCTTTTTTTTTTTTTTTGTAAATTTTGATACCGTTTACATCGTAATTGCTCTTTATTTCATAAATTACGGTTTCATATTTTTAATCGTATAATTTCTGCATGCCATCTTACCAGATTTAAATTGATGATCCATAATCCAGAAAAACCCCTAATATCGCCGAAGTCCTGATGAGTCCGGATTACGGACTTTGTACTGTATATATGGTCTAGTTTAAATGATAACTTGTACACAATAAGGATTTAAGGAAAGAAATAATAAACATGTAATAATATAATATTGACACTGTAGTATACACTATCTCTCTCTCTTGTAAAGTCTCAGATACAAATTTTAGCCTGATCTTAAAAAGTTTTTATAAATAAATAAATATAATGCGTATATTCCCAATAAAGAAATGAATGCTAATGTATTATCTCATTGATCATGAAATTGTCATCATGCAATGCAATTTAGTACTGTTATGGATAAATGGGATGTAATAACACACTCATAACATCTGAACTTTTGTTTGATGTAGCTTCATTTGTTGGTGAACATCGAGACATGCTGAAACAATAAAAGATTAAGCTGAGTTTAAAAGTGACAAAAATTGAAAGATAAAAGAACTTTGCATTAACAAAGAATTTTTGCTAAATCACCATCATGGGAAATAAAATGTGACTTGAAGCTAAAATGACGATATTTTCTCAATTTAAAACCATATTAAAGATATGCTCTGTTCTGTTGATTGAAACATTGTAATCAAGAAGTTAAACTTCAATCATATCGTCTTCATTTAACATTTCTTGTTTAATTATATTCTGCGAGCCAGAAAATTTCACTTTTTACTTGTGATATAGCTTTTGGATCTGTGACTTTCATCATCAACTTGAAATTTGGTAGCTGGCTTTATATTATGCATAGCTTTTTCAAAAATATCTAAAAATGTATCATCTCATGATTTTGCAGTGTCTCACACATATGAATTTTATATTAAACTGTTTTTAGAATTCTTGGATGGTCTTACTTCTGCAGTAGTTTTTAAAAGCCATTTTATGTTTTCATTTCAAAGTGTTCAAAATTCCAATAGCCATTGCCTGGTTGATGTATGTACCGTTTTAGGGAATGAATAAAATGGAGACATTTACTAAAACTGTAATTTTGATAAGATTTATAACAATAGACAGAACAAAAAAAATAAGCTACTTCAAATTAGAAAGTTAAGGAACGAATCAGAGATGTTAACTGAAGTTAATCAGGATCTAATTATTTCTTACTTCCCTGTAGTTATGCCAGCAAAAGAAGACCAGCAGCATTCCACTCTAAATGACACTTACAAAAAAGCTTCATTACTCCTATCAAATGGAAAAATGTTACTCCCCCCTTCCCATACACACGCATATACAATCACTCAAAAGCTGAAAGTATGTATGTGGCTAACGTCAATATATTACTAGTCAATGTAATGTCATTGGCTATACTGACTCCCTGTCCAGCAAGTATTTGAAAGTGGCATATAGGAATCTTAGTTAGTAAGGCGTAAGGCGAAAACTCACGAGCATTATATTCTACATTCCTAATCTTTGCAAGGGAAATGGATTCTTTGAAAGTTTTGAAGTCCAGATATTAGATCACTCTGGATTTTGGATTTTGTACCCTATATAATAAAGTGTTGGCCAATACAGTTGTTGTTAATTGTGTATGACAAGTGAACATGTCAAATGTGGCTATTAGGGTAGAGTGCATTTTAAATTTAATTTTGTTAAATGTCTAAATAAAAGACTATATTTTTCATTACACCTATTTGATTTTTTGACTTTTTAAAATTATATCTATTTTGTTTTTCGGTTTTGCTTCTGCACAAATTAATTTTTATTCTTTCAACTCCGAGATCTTAGATATGCTTAACAGATAGGGTTTCTTTTATCTTCCTTTGTCCGTGCTTTAATGTATAACTTTTCTATTTACAAAAAAGACTCTTCTGGTTCAAGTGGATTCATTTTGAAAGGAATATATTTACTAATCAGTTGAAAAGGTAAGAACTAAAATTTCAAGATAAACTCTTAGGTGGAGATAAGAAATTCAGGCCTAGGCTGGAGATTAAGTGTCGGTCACCAAGTTAAGCGAAATCGTGCCAAATCTGGTAACCCCCATTTTTTTGCCGTAATGAAAATCGTTAGGGTTACAGTTTATATTATTTAACTGGGCTTTTTAAATATTCGCACTTGAAACTTCATTTCACTATTAGTGGTTTTACATGTGTTGTTTCCTTTAACCAGGTTATTTGAGGTGCTGGTAAGAGCGCGATAATATTTGCACTGACACCAGCATACCAGCAAATATCAAAGTATCAGTTTTCATCATTTCACTGTACTTCTCGTGAATAGTGTAAGTAAAATGGCGGGCGTTGAAAGAATTGAACGTGTGTATTTTGCTTATTTGACACGGCTGCAAGATAAGGATGAAAGATGTGTGATAGAATGGTGCATGAATTATGGTTTGATTTCGAATGTGTATGAATGTCCTAAATGTAAAAATAGTATGAAATTAGTTGAAAGGAAAGATGTGACAGACTTGTGTGAATGGAGGTTTCGTGTGTGTGGGGTCCTTCCAAGCATGAGGTCAAAAGGAGAATGAGAAATGGCTCTTGGTTTCTGAGAGATGAATACCTACGAGTCTGATCCTTCAGCTAACATATTTATGTGGTCAGAAATGCATGAATTGGTTTATTGTGGATGATTGATTAATACAGTTGAAAACAAGAATAAATTAATACATATTTTTATTTAAATACAAATAACAATAAAAGTAATTCTCATTAAATGTAAGTACATTATATGTGATTAAGCACGTGGTTGAAATGAGTGCACCATTTTGATTTTTGTCTTCATTGTATTGTTACATTTTAGTATAGATATAAATAAATGTGTTTTCTACTGTTTATTACAAATAAAAATGCATTGTAAAAATATAAATTACATAGTTAAAACTGTTTAGCCACTTTTTGCTTTTTTACTATACTATGGCTCATGTTTCAGTCGATCGAAATTTTGAATTTTATCTTCTTTTTTCTTCTGCATTTTTTTTAAGTGTTAGCTCATATATGATTCAACATTTTCCTATTTATTGCTCATTTACTCTTACTACAGTTTCTTAAATTTTGTGATAAAACATTTTACACCCTTTTCCTACTGTCTTAAAAATGGTATATTATATTATGAAAAGTCTTAGTATTGTTAATCCCATAAAATACATAGTTATTAACTTTCAAATACTTTTTCGATGTTTTTCTTGAACTTTTACTTTAGATATGAATTCTTTGCATGTTTACAGGATTCATTCAAAATTGGAACTGTTTCATGCGATTTTCTAAAACATGCGAAAATAACTCATTTGGTGAATTTCGAAAATGCTCCAGACTAGCCCGTAATATCCAGTTTTACCAAATTCAGTTTTCAGGGACATTAAAATTCTCAATTCTCCTTGTCATCTGTATTGCAAAATTGGAGGAGATGTCATCTGTATTGCAAAATTGGATATTGGCTGATATCCTTACATATAGCCTTTCTTTTTAAACAATAAATACCATAGCCATTATATTGGCCATTCGAGATACTGATTTCTATGTCATAATTGATCACAAATGTTCAATAGCAGTTGACTTCACAATTGAAATGTAATCAAAACTGTCCCATTCCTCCAAGTTTGGTGTATTTTCGCTGTTGCGATACATGAGCTTTCACAGCATTGTCTCTGAAATGCTGACATCTGTAACCTGATAACCGTTAATCATCTCCCTTTTTAAGTCATATAAATTGCTTGCTTTGGCAAAGCTTTGTATAAATTTGACGTAAGCTGTATTTAATTCATCAGCTGCATGAAAAATGCCATGATTATCCATAATAGTATTGATCAGTCATGTATGTCTAGGGAAAAAAAGTTGCATTTGTAAGTAAAACTAAAAAACTAAAATCAGTGGCGTAACAGCCGTAATGGGCCAAGGCCTGCAGTGCCCAAAATGCATTTGTAATTAAATGTTTTAAATATTTTCAGTGGAAATTCTATAATTTTAAAGTTGTGAGATGACAAACACTACAGGAATGTTAAAAAAGTGCAAAAACTAGAAAAAAGCAAAAGTTAGGATATATCGACTTCTGTATTCAAATGAAGGAAAATTTTTTCGTATTTGTAACAGGATTCCTTTTTCAATGCATATAATTTGTTTATTTGGTTCCATAGAGATCTTGGTTATTTTCTGTCTGCTTAGTAATAAAAAAATAATAATTGAATTGGGAGATAATTTATATATATTTCATTTTAGACTAGAATATGAATATGTTTTAAAAGGTTTCATGTTCAGAAAAGGGAGGATGAAGGTGATAGTTGCCAAAGTATGTCGAGTAAGTATGCTTCCAAAATTTATATATAATATCATATAAGAAAATCATATATATATATATATATATATATGATTTTCTTTTCTTTTGTCTTATCAAAAATACTAACATTACCCTTAAATTACTATGATGAAGGTTATTGTCCATTTTAAGAACTCTTTTGATTTAGGAAAAAATGTGATGTTTGATGGATTTATGTATACATTTGATAGTGCATGAAGTGAAACTTCCTACTTCTCACCAGATCTACTGAATCTTCCCACTTACAGATGATTATTAGCATTAAAAATGATCAATCCCTGTTCCCAAACAAATCAAATCATTTATGTGGGCTTTTCTGCACTATTTTCATAACCAATAACAGTAAGTCAAGCTTTCCCATGTGACATTCTATCTGTTGCAATAATCACTTGATGATTCTAGGCAGAGATCATTATTTACTTCATTTATAATAGTGCATGTCCAGATTTGAGGTTGCAGGTAAGATGGTCTTTTACATTAGATTGATAGTGATTGATTTCAAGTTTCTTCAAAGACCCCATTTTATGTTTCATTCAAAATGATTATTCAAGAGAGAAATCTTTCTCATTAGTAATCCTTTGCTTCAGTAGAATTATATCAAATACCGTATTTGACAGCATATAAGACGCACCCTTATTTAGAAGGCCACACACAAGGGAAAAAAGTTTCAATAGTCCACAATAACTTAAAATGTGGTTTCTTTTAGTTCTCACGTTTCGTAAACGCCAAATAAACAATCATTGAATGCAATTAAAAAAATTTTTATTAAGGAAAATTAACAAATGGCAAGCTATTTGGAACATGATATGTAAATTTCAATGATGAATAAATGAATAAACGGCAAGCAATCAAACATAATACAAATTAAAGCAGAAACAACAAGAAACACAGATTCAAGGAAAACATTGCCTATCATGAAATTAGACTTTAATCACTTTCAAAACCATAAAATCCTTTTCACTATCATCATCATCGAAAACAAGAATATCGTCATCACTACTGTTTCCGTCATACCTTCTTCGAATAATGCGTCATCTTCTGTTCCGTCAAGAGCATTACTGATTCCGCACTTCTTAAAGGACTTAATTACTTCATCCTTTACGTCCTCCCAAGATCTTTTTACGCACTCGCACACTTGTGAAATAGAGGGCCGCTTCATTCTACCTGAGAGCATGATGTGGCTCTCCTATCTACTTGTTCCATCATTCTCGCACTTTTTCCTTAAGTGGCTTATTCACCGATACAGCTAAAGGCTGCAATTGTCTAGTCAGTCCACCAGGAATGACAGCTATCTGGGTTTTTAATTCTTTTGCTTTATTCTTTATGGTTTCAGTTCTATGGGCACTAAACTGATCCAAAACCAAAAGAGAGGGTTTTCTTAAAAGTCAACCAGGTCGCCTCGCTCATTTTCTGTGCAGTAGTTGTTTTTGTGCACATTGATAAGCCTTGCCTTTTCATGAACCTGTAGCACCAGCCCTCAGACCCTGAAAAGTTCTGATTCCCATATTTTTCTGCAGATCCTTTGGCCTCATTGATTATCATTTTGGTTGAAACACTTATCCCAGATTTCCTTTTACCTGTCACCTACATTTTTACGGCAAGTTCAGGCTAAGATGAAGCTTTGCATCGAAGGTTATGTTTTTGTTTTTTAGCAGTCTTCAGTTGATCTTCCTGCAGTCGCCAAGTACCTATCATTTTTTCGGTAGGTGATGAACCGAAATGTTTTGCTGTTTTGTTTCCATGCACTTTGGCGTAGTTTAACACTCCTAGTTTATACTGAATTATACAGCTTAAACTCCTGTTTCCTGTAGTCATATTTTCCAGGGTATTTTATTTAAAAGAAATAGTTTTAAGCACCGATACCGACACGTTTATACAGAGTAGCACTGATACCGAAACGTGTGTAGGCCGAGTCAAAGTCTATGTAAAGAAGGAAAGGCTCCATAGACTTAATGTGACCATCGAATCTGTTCGAACTTCTACATCAGCTTTGAGCTTTGGTGCTTTTTGCCGACAGATATTTCATGCATGCGCAAAATAATTATGGCAGATGTAGAAAAAGTTATGTGTGTCTAGACCTTTATCTGGGCTAAAACTAGCATTCAGTATTGAAAGTTAACCTGTGTCCTTCACGTATAAGACGCAGGTAACGTTTTTGAAACCAAATTTAGGAAAAAAAGTGTGTCTTATATGCCGTCAAATACGGTAATGACAGATCCATTGGGCACAAACATTTTTTTTAAAGTTCCTCTCAAAATGCAGTACACTGATGACAGTGAAATCCTATAGCTTTTGGCATTTCCTTTCATATTTTTTCAATATTTTCTTCTTTTCTAGCCTGCCTAAGTGTTACAGTTTCTTTATCTGCTGATATTTTTTTTTTTAATCTTCCTTACCTTAATTATATTGTACACCTTACATATTCTTCAAGAAAATGTGTAGCCTAACAGAAGACTATACTGCAATCTACTATCTGCTCACCACAAACTTCATTCAATGCTGTCTGAAATTTTGTTAGAATTTTGCTACCTAAACTTTCAATTTTGAAATATGATCTTTGATTTTCTACAGTCACACTATACCATATGTGGGTAGACTCCAATTCAAACAGTAGTCACTACAAAATGCTGTACTTGAGAGAACTCAAGTAGATACTTGTATTGAGTTTGAAACTTTAGCTCTAAGTAATACAAATCTATACAAATTATCCCATCATAAAGGTTACCAGGGATTAATGTAAGTACAGGTGGAAGTGGGCGGAATACCGTTGGTCATAAAGGTAATAACCCGCCACACTAAACTATGCAGTTCTGTCCCAGTTTTGAGAGACGCATGCCTGGAGCAGCCCTAGTATCTCCCTCCCCTACCTCCAGCCTGTCTAGAGGACTTTTGGCTCGCCGTGTATTTTGAGTGCTGCCTTGTCACACAGACACTCTAGGCTTACAAACATCCATTCCTTCTCTGGGATTAAACTTGGGCCCTTCGGTAGACCGGTTAGCTTCACTAACCACTGTACCACTGTGTGTGTATTAAAATTGATTGAAAGATTTGCGAGGGTGCCATCAAATCTGGAAGTAGGATGCCCCAAAAAAAAAGCAGGCATTTACCAAAAGATATTATATAAATTATGAATGGTATATAAGAGAAAGCAAAATGAAAATGAAAAAAAAAAAAAAAATACATTATATGTAGCCCACAGAATTATTTTTTCTTTGACTAATGAGTAACATTTCATGTGTATTCCATAACACTTATGAGTTTCTAAAGGCTATTATTTGATATTAGTGCAAGAAGGTAGTTTCTCCATGTACTTTAAAGCACAGAGAATTCCGGAATAATATTATTAGTGACATCAACATTCAACTTGCATGTATGGTACTTCATATTGAATCAGTAATGTATCAGAAAATGTCCATGATTAGTAAAAACCTTAGTTCAGATACTCATCTAAAATACAGCTTCTGTGAGAAATTTAAATAGAAATATGAGTATGAATCTTCTTAACATAACTGTTTATTCCACTAATTTGCCATTTAGTTACATTCTTAACTTGCATTAGAAGAAGCTGAAGATAGTTTAAATCGTAACTTCATTAGAATCCAAATCCAGAAGAATATCTAAAATATATTGAATCTGAAATTCCTCAGATAAGAATAAGAAGAGCGAACAGAAAACTTTTGCTTAGCGAAATATAAATTTTATTTACTTAAAAATATAATTTTTATTTAGTTAATGAAGTACATAATTAAACTCTTGAATCTGGAGGGTGATTTTCTCAACATAATTTGAGAAACATATTCATGTAAAATTTAAATTTCAAATAACTATTCTAAACTATAGACAGAATCAAATACAGAGCAGAATTAAATTTCCACTACTTAAAGCAGGGTTGCCATGCTACCTGGAAAACTGGACTTTCTCAAAAACTAGTCAAAAACAATCAGGGAATTTAAATATCCAGAAAAAGTAAAAAAATCTGGAAAAGTTAGGGAATTTCATTCTGCAATCTCCAAAAAAGCGATTTTCACTCTAACGTCAGAAATGATCACTTTCTTGGTGAATCACGTATCGTGTGAGAGTCATTCACACAGCTGGCATAGAGCCAGTTTTCGCGATGGCAATCAGATTGTCTTTCAGAAAGGCAAAGCAAGCTTCCAGCATCCTTATTTTCCAGTAACCTCGACATTTCAGAGATTCGCATGCGCATGAGCAGTGCATGTTGAACGAAAGTAAATCCCCCATTCTCATATAAAACAAAATCTTTTAAACCTTTTCTTTCTGAAATGCCTTATTTGCCATTTTGTAGTAAATTTAAAAAGAAAAAATCGTCTAGGCTAACCATTTAATATATCTGTATTCACCAAAATGCCGTCGATTTTTGTAATTCAGTTTTTAATCCTTAAGTAATTAACTTTATTTTAATGTTGTTCATATAATTTAATGTGCCTTCTTCCTTCTAAATATATTTATTATTAGTTAATACATTCAAATTTCAGGCAATTTTTTCTGGCATACTAATGTGAAACTAATCCTAGCAGTAATCCATCACAAAATTTAGTGCGCATATTTATTACTTATGTATGCTGCTAAATAAATATAAAATACTTGAATTTATTTTTAAATATCATTAAATAGATTTATTTCTTCCTTTAGCTGCAAAATGTCTGCAGAAAAGACATTTTTAAATTCTGATTGGGCAGATTCTAATCTCAATCCTCAAGCAGTGGAGAAAACAACTCCTATTATAGTTATAAAAGTAATACTTTGGGGATTGTATATATATAAGGTCGTGTAATTGGCAAATGTTTGTCATTCATGGGATATCAATCAATGATATCATACTTGTAAGTAGTGCGCATTGGCTGTGCTGAGGAGAATTAATTTACCCTTAGTACAGCCAACGCACACTACGCGGATAGCCTGGAATTCTCTTGAAACACACATGGAAAAGTCGGGGAATTTCATCCTCCTGTTTGAGTGGC